TATGATTGTATACATAGAAAACCCTAAATATTTAGCAAGAAAACTACTGGGCATAGTCAATCAACTCAGCAAAGTGGAGGGATACAAGATCAATATACAAAAATCAATTGGAGTTTTCTACAGTTACAAGGAGAATACAGAACTGGAGCTAAGAAAAACAATACCCATCACAATAGCTAATCACAAGATTAAATACTTGGGAGTAAATCTAACTAGAAACACAAAGCATCTATTCAAAGAAAATAAAAAAAAAACAAAAACATTACTATAAGAAACAAAAAGAGACCTGGGGAAATGGAAGAATATACCTTGCTCTTGGATAGGAAAACTCAATATTGTAAAAATGACAATAATACCAAAGGCAATTTACATGTTCAATGCAATCCCAACACAAATACCAATTCCATTCTTCAATGAGATGGAAAAGGCATTCTCCAATTTCATTTGGAATGGAAAGAGGCCCTGAACAAGCAAAGCATTCCTTAAAAAGAGAAACGAGGTAGGAGGCATTTCACTCCCTGATTTCAAATCCTACTATACTGCCATGGCGGTCAAGACAGCATGGTACTGGTATAATGACAGACACACAGATCAATGGAATAGAATTGAAAACCCAGAAGTCAGTCCGTCTACCTATAGTCATTGATTTTTGACAAGGAGATGAAACTGGTCAAGTGGGGAAACAACAGCCTTTTTAACAAATGGTGCTGGCAAAATTGGAAAACTATCTACAGAAAACTCAAGCAAGACCCACACCTCACACCATACGCAAAACCAAAACCAAGGACTATAAAATTCATTAGAGAAAAGCTTGGAAGAACTCTAGAAGCCCTAATTCACAACATGAACAGTCTTCTAAGAATCTTGAAAAATCTACAGCCAGGAGAGGATAAAATAGATGAACAGGACCTTCTAAGAATTAAATCCCATATGCCCATCTGAAAACTTCTCCAACAGGGTAAAAAGGGAAGCCACAGACTGGGAAAAAAAATTTGGTAATGATATGTCTGATAAGGGACTTATCTCTAGAATTTATAAAATACTTGAGCACCACAAGATAAAGGTAAATAATCCAATTGAAAAATGGGCACAGGATATAAACACTTCACTGAAGAAGACATTCAAGTGGCCTACAAACACATGAAAAAAATGTTCAAAATCCCTAGCTCTAAGAGAGATGCAAATCAAAACAACTATGAGATACCTTCTCACCCCAGAAAGAATAACAAAATTCAACAGAGCAGCAAACAACAAATGCTGGCAAGGCTGTGGAGAAACTGGAATTCTTAATCACTGTTGGTAGAGTGTAAAATGGTGTAGCCACTGTGGAAGGTAGTATGGTGCTTTCTCAAAAAGTTGGAAGTAGAAATACCATTTGACCCAGCAATTCCACTACCGGGAATATATCCTAAAGAAGCCAGAACTGGGACCCTGAGCACCAGGGAGTGCCCAGCCCAGCAGAGGAAGTGCGAGGTGGGGAGCTACCGTGCACTAGGCCAAGGTATCTTTGGTACCTCGACTGCCTGTAATTGCTGCTGCCGCGCGCCTCCCCCCCCCCGCCCCCAGCCTGCATTATCAGGTGGGGCTGCTTTAGAATCTGGGGCAGCACCTGTGGGTTTCCAGCATTGTATGTGCCAGGTGGAACTGTGAGTGAGTGCCCAGAACCTGCTGGACCAGGATGTCACCTCCAAGTCTGAACCCTTCTGTGTCTTTACGGAAAATGATGACAGGTGGATGGAGTATGACAGAACAGAAATGGTGGTTAACAATCTCAACCCTGCATTCTCCAAGAAGTTCATCCTCAACTACCATTTTGAAGAGGGGCAGAAGTTCAAGTTTGCCCTGTTTGACCAGGATAAGTCCAGCATTTGGCTAAATGAAAACAACTTCCTGGGCCAGTTCTCCTGCAGCCTGGACCCGATCATCTCCAGCAAGATGACTCATCCTTTGCTGCCGCTGAATAGACAAGCCTACAGGAAAGAGCTTAATTACAATCACTGCTCAGGAGCTGTCTGACAAACAAGTCATCATGTTGAGTCTGACCTCTTTGGGAAATCAGACCCATTTCTTGAGTTTTATAAACCAGGAGATGATGGCAAGTAGATGCTCATACATAGGACCGAGGTGATCAAGTACACCCTGGATCATGTGTGGAAGCCCTTCACTATGCCACTGGTGTCCCTGTGTGATGGTGATATGGAGAAGGCCATCCAGGTCATGTGTGGTGACTGTGACAGCGATGGGGGCCACGACTTTATTGGAGAGTTCCAGACCAAGTTGACCCCAACAACTTCTCCACTATCGTCAACCATGTGGCCTGGTTTGCTGCTCAGGCCACGTAGCAACAGACAGCCACCCACACAATACTTCATCCTCCTCATCATCACGAATGGTGTCATCAGTGACATGGAGGAGACCAGGCATGCCGTGGTGCAGGCTTCCAAGCTGCCCAGGTCCATCATCATTGTGGATGTGGGCAACATTGACTTTGTGGCCAGGGAGTTATTGGACAGAGACAGCCACACACTGTGCTCCTACACGGGTGAGGAGGCAGCCGTGACATTGTGCAGTTTGTGTCCTTTCGCGAGTTCCACAATGCAGCAAAGGAGACCTTGGCCAAAGCTGTACTGACAGAGCTGCCCCAACAAGTTGTGCAGTATTTCAAGCATAAAAACTGCCCTCCACCAAACTGGAGCATGCCTGAGTGCCAGCCCTCACCTAGCAGCATGCTGCCTCAGCCAGCCAGCCTCCCTCCCCTGAGAACGTACACACTCACCCTGCTTTCTCATGAGTGGCCTTTAAAAAAAAATCCAACAAAATACAACAACCCAAGCATCTATGATCTGTGTTTGCATTTTGTTTTACAACTGGACTTCTGGCCATGACTTCCCCCAGCCTAGCTGGACTTCCTTTGTAGGAGTCAACTGATGATGCTTCCTCTTCCTCTTTGGCCACTCTTAAGTATTGAATGTACTGTGTATAATTTTTGTGAAATCACTGTTGTTATTAAAGACAGTGACATTTTTACAATCATAGAAGAAACCACAACTGCCACTCAAGCAAATATATGCACACCATGTTTATTGCTGCTTTGTTTATAATAGCAAAGAGTTGGAAACAAACAAAGTGTCCATCAACAAATGAATGATAGAGAAACTGTGGTATATTTACACAATGGAATACTACACAGCATTGAAAAACAAGGAATTCATGAAATGCTGTACAAAATAGGTGACCCTGGAGGACATTATGTTGAGTGAAATATCTTAATCACAAAAGGACAAATATAATGCATAATGCCACTGTTATAAAATGACTGACATCGAGTTTGGGGGAACTAAGAAAATAGGGGATAAAGGACACTGCATTAAAACAGATGAGGGAGAAAACTGTTTAAAAGGGATGTATGATTAGGTATTATTTGCATGGCAAGAGTCCAGAATAGGAGCTGCATAATCAAGTGGACTGAGAGGGACTGTATAACAATGAAAGATTTTTTTTCCTTCTTAAAGAGAAAAGCGAACGGGAGGTAGGAAGGAAGTAGGCAGGGAGTAAAATGTGCAATAGTGAATGAATGGAAAATTCAAGTTCTCTATAATCTTTCATTAAAATCTCAATTAAAAAAATAATTTCTCCAAGGAAAAGCAGTCAAATACTTAGTCAAATACTTAAATACTAAGGTTCACCTAATCCAAGCCATGGTTAATTGTATGCATCTGAAAGTTGGATAAGACTATGGATGACAGAAGAATTGATGCCTTTGAGTTTGGGAGTTGGAGAAGAGTACCGAGTATCTCATGAACAGTCAAATGAACAAACAAATGTGTCTTGGAGAAAGTGAACCCAGACTTCTCACATACGTTGGGTATGTTGTCATAAGGGGCCAATGCCTGGAAAAAGACATCATGCTTAGAAAGGTGGAGGGTCAGCAAAAGAGAGGAAGACCCTTAGCGAGATGAACTGACATAGGCCTGTAACAGTGAGCTCAAGTTGTTTCAGAGATGATGGGAATGGCACAGGATAGGATAGGGTTCAGATCCATTGTTTATGGGACTGCTGTGACCCATAATTGATTAGATGACAATAACAAAAAAATTTTTTTTTAATTATTATTAAATTTTACTAGTTTTAGTGAACATTTACAGAGATTTTGGGTTTTCATTCATTCATTGTTGCACTGTTTTCTCTATCTTCCTCCCCAGTCGTTCTTCTTCCCTACCCCCGAATGTCTGTTTTAATTGTCCAACTGCCACAGTGGTTGTCAAAGCCAGTTCTGATTAATCTCTTTCGTCAGTGTGTCCTTTGCCATTCCCTATCTCTCCTCCCTGAGAGAGACTTCACCCTGATTCATAAGGAAAAGGAGATGGCGTATTCTTTTATCTACTTTGTGCTGAAAAGGGACTCTGTGGGTTTCAGGGTGAAGGTCTTCTCTCACTACTCTAAAGGGCCCCTTTGGCAGTAGGAAACACATAGACTATTATGGAGATTGATTTTGGAATTTAGATGCACTGTTATCAATTGTGCTTAGCCGTACATGTTCATATCCTTGAAGATGAATCATGGAAGTGTTGCAGCCTAGAAGATACAAATTTAACTTAACAAGTTAAAAGTACATGAGTCAATAATTAAAAAGCAATAATATTCCGAGTAGAGGTTCTAATAATGGCACAAATCAAGTTACAGAGGGAAGGTGGTTCTTACAAGGCCTATAGACTAGCACTACAAAATTTTAGTATCTGTGGGATAATGGCCTGAACATAATGAAATGTAACCTAGAAACTGTTTAATCAGTTGTAGCTAGGACTTTGTGCCAACATGGATAGATGGTATTATTGAGGCAAGCGAGACAGTCCAAGAAGAAAACTGGAGAAAGTGGACTTTGTCAGAAGGAGTTTAATTTTGCTATGGTTAAAATTGAGGGTGGTATTGTCTCTAATATGGAAATGTAAGGCTTGATATGAGAGCATTAATTTGTTGTTACTGTGAATTTATTTCACTAGGAAATCATTTTATGGAGAAAAGCTCCTGAAAAGCTGAGAAAACAGAGAACAAACTTTCACCAGCGATTTGAATCTCCAGATTCACAAGCATCTGCTGAACAGCCTGAAATGTGAACTGAATAGAGAGAAAGAACTTCTTCCCGTAACGGTCAAGATTCAGTTCATGAGGTTAAAGACAGTTGCAGGGTAGGGGGACAAGGCCAAAACTCCATTTGTAATAGTCTTCCTTTATCTCACAGTGCTGCATTTATTTTATGATATAACTAAATATTCTTCTTGTATATACATTTTAAAAAATGTGCTTTCTTTGAAACACTGGAACTTTCTTAAGCTGCCTTTTTTTTTACTGCATACTTTGATTTGATGATAAGTATTCAAATATGTATAAGCGTAAAATTAAAGATTTTTCTGTGAATAGGCTGGTATTTTAAATTTTGCTTTCTTTCTGCATAACACTGATTATCAATTTTTTTTCTTCTCCCTTTTCATGCTAATTCCCTACATGGAAAAATTTAAGTATTTGTGTTTTAATAAAATTAGGAAACTTGAGTGACCCTTAACATCCTGCATAGATACAGAACAAGACGTACGTTTTTCTTGAGAATGTCAGTTAGGTGTTTATTTTATCTGAGAGATCCACATTAAGTGTTTCTCTGTAGGTGTTTCAGACTCTTCCATTCCATGGCTTCTTAAATTTGCATCCTCTGAAGTTTTGTGCGGTATGAATTTTTTCTTTCCCTCTTGAAGGATTATGTAGCATGTGACTGCCTTCCCTTTTCAGGGGGAGGATGAGTGTGTTAAGTACCACTTTGCTACTTTACAGCAGCACCACTGTATATTTTTTGCTGTGGAGAGCTGAGCTTATATTGGCATTATAGAATTTGTTACAATTTCTGCAAATACGTTAAAATCTGTATCCTTTTTATATTGTAAGGAGACTTTTTGCCACATAAATAACATTTTTCTTGACTTGACCTCAAAAATGTATTCATGTTCCAGGGGCAATTTTTTTCAATGGGAGATTTAAAAGAAACTGTTACAGACACATAGTATAGTAGTATCCGGATCCAAACAATTTCCCATTTGTTAAACTGGAACTTTGGTTAGTTCATGCTCAAATTGAAATCTCCCTCTGGTTGTTTTCATTTTTAAAAACATTAATTCATTTGTTCATTGTCTCAAGGTTGCAGTCATCTTGTTCATATGCATGAGGTCTGAGACAGTAAATGTGAGATGTAGGTACCAAAATGAAGCCTGCTGTGGGAAACTCCTTTCACTTGGGGTTTTTTGTACCAATTATTTTTTTATACACTTCAATGCAAGGCTTGTTGGTTAACTTTACTTTATAAGTAAGCTAAATAACTCCAGTTCAGTTTCTTTAAACCTGTTTACTACTTTGGCAGATTGACAAAATGATTACTAACTTCTTTACCATTGAAAGGTTCCATGTACTGTGTATTGGAGCATCTATTTTAAATGTGGATATTCCTGAATGGTATGTTTTCCTTCATGTAAGTGCCTGTTTAGTTCCAAAATTCCAAAAATGCCAAATATTTTCATGGTCACTTGCATGTAGTAATCTAGAAATACTAAAAAAAAAAAATAAATTTTTTAAAGAATTATATTTAACCAGCCTCAAATTGTGCAGCCATGATGTGTAAAATAAAAACTTTGAAACATCCTGAGCTAGCTTTTTGAATGATTAATCATCTCTGTTCTCAAATCTTTCCTCATTGTCAGGTTTATAGTTGAAGATGGAATTGCTCAACAGTTTAGGAATAAATGTAACTGTGATGAAGTAGTTTTTGTAAATATTACCTGTTTAAAAGGGTTATAGTATACTTTTAATTAGCTAGCTTACAATGTGTTCATACACAAGACGCTTATTTTTATTTGCTTGAGTTTTTTGCTGCATAACGAATTTGAAAAATGAATTTAGCATTTGGTGGTTTGAGTAAAAACATGACTAATTACTTAGAAATAATAAACTTAAGAATGAAATTTGTGTCTTTAACTAAGAGTATAATGTCTAATCCAACAGTCCTTAACCTTGGCTGCTTACAATTATCTAAGATGCTTTTCAAAATGCTCAGGCCCAGGACAATAAAATTACTATTTGAAAAGCTACCTGAGGATTAAGAACTTCTGATCTGAACTGTTGTCTCCCATTTTCCCCAGTTGGTGAATTGATTCAGACTCATAATGATCCCGTGTGTCGTGGTACTAGCTTCCAAAGGCATTCTAATGGGTGGATTTTCAGAAGTAGATTGCTTGTCACTTCTTCAGTTCTTCCAAGGAGTTCCTGAATGGCTCTGAAATCTCCAGTCTCTTAGCAGTCAAAGAATTTAACAACTTTTTATTAACCAGTGGCCTTGAGCCCACTGAGTTATCAGGGCTCCTTTTACCACTAGGGAATTTGTCGTTTTGATACTGATTGAGGAGTTAGACTATGGTTCTAATTACCAATTGCCATGTGTACCAGTAAAGTCTCACATTTTATGTTCTTTTCACATTCAATAGAATCTGTTAGGGTTCTATAGGAACTTATACTGGGTGAAATATACATTAAGTTTCAATCAGGTAAGAGCCTAGTGAAGAAAATGTGTCCTTAAATATAAATTTAATCTGCTTCCATGAGGATGAATCTTGTGCCACTCCCCAATCTAAAATTTTTCAGTGACTCAGTTACTTCCAGTGTTGTTGGCTTAGGAAAAAGAATAAAGAAAGAGGACACCAAGAATAGAGGAGAAACAGATCATGAAGGCAGATGGTGAACAGCTCATTGAAAATTGCCAGGGAGCAAATCACAAACAGAATTAATTCTATGTAAATACAGCTAAACTCTTTCTATTGAAAACCTTATGCTTGACTCAGGAGGGAGGGGTTAGCAAATACAATCCAAGAATTGTGAAAAACGTTTGAAAGTCTGTCTTGGTACTTGACCCCTGTGACCTATCTTGGGGAATTCCAGCTTGTATCTGTGCCTCCCTCATATAGCATTAGGTTTATCATTAATATTTAGTTTGAAATTTGGCTTCCCACTTCCAGGATAAAGTTTAAGTTCTATCCTAAAAAACACACCTTCAGCTCCAGTTATGCCAAAACGGTTTTGTGTTTTCAGATCACTATGTATGTATAAAAACTGTAAGGAGGATAGAAAGCTGGCAAGAAACTCAGTTACATGGTGGTTCCATTTATTCATTCAACAGAACATTTATGGAGGCTCTAAAATTTGTTAATATTACATGCGGATTGCATGTGCTGCCATTAACCAAACCAAGCTCAATACCATCAAGTAGATTCTTATTCTGACCCTGCAAGAGGGAGTACAACAGTACCCAAGTGTTTCCAAGTCTGTATATCTATGGAAACAGACTGCCACATTTTTCTCCCATGGAGGAGCTAGGGATTTTGAACCATGGACCTTGTCACTAGCAGCTGAGTGCTTAACCCCTGCACCACAAAGGTTCCTTGGTGCTATAAAACCAAACTCAAACCCACTGCCATGGAGTTGATTCCAACCCATAGTGATCCTCCATTGGGTTTTTAAGGCTGTACATCTAAGAAGGATACTACCTCATCTTCATCCTGAGGGCCAGAGAGTTCAAACTGCCCATAATTCAATCAGCAGCCCATCACTTAACCTACTGTGCCTCTTGTTATGTACTGTCGCGTTGGAACCAACTCATAGCTGACTCTCCAGTGGGTTTTTGGAGTCTAAATCACCCAGGAGGAAACTGCTTATCTTTCTCCCATGGAGCAACTGGCAGATTTGAACTGCATGCCTTTGGGTTAGCACTGCAATCTCCTTACCAGTAATGCACCAGAGCTCACTAAGCCTCTGTTGTTATATGTATTGAGTTGCTTGCAATGCATTGCAACCTTAAGTACAACAGCTCAGAACCCTGCTCTATTCTGAGCCAACCTCATTTTCTCTGACACACCTACCACCATTACCGTAGTCACTGAGTCAATCCATCTCATCTAGGGTTTTCCTCTCCCGTGCTGTCCCTCCACCCTTCCAAGTATGATACACCTCTTCAAGGACTAGTCCCTCCTTGCAAAATGCTCAAAGTATGACAGTCAAAGCTTCAAAATCCTTGCCTCCAAGGGGCAGCTTGGTTTCATCCTCTCTAGGATGAACCTGCTTGTTCTCCTAGCACCACAACTCAAAGGCATCAATAATTCTTCTATCATCATTAGTCATTGTCTGTCTACGGCCATACCACCCTGAACACGCCTGGAAGCTAAGCAGGGTCGGGCCTGGTTAGTATTTGGATGGGAGATCATTAGTCATTGTCCAGCTTTCATAGCAAGTAACTGTGAAGACCATGGCCTGGATGAGGTGCACCTTAGTCTCCAGAGTGACATCATTGCTCTTCAGTACTCTAGAGAGATTCCTGATATATTTTACCAATGCAATTCATCTTTTGATTTCCTGGCTGCTGGTACCAAGAATATTGATTGTGGAGCCAAGCAATCTGAAGCTGTTAACAATTGCAATCTCTTCATCTACCATGCTGCTGCCTGTCCCATTGGTGAGACTCTTTTGCTGTTGAACTTCAATCCATATTGAAGGCTGTAGGTCTTAACCTGCAGCAAATGCCTCAGATTCTCCTGTTTCAGCAAGTAAGGTGGTCATCTGCATAACGCAGATTATTGTTGAGTCTTCCTCCAATCCTGATGCCACTTTCCTTCTCATAGAGCCCAGCCTCCTGGATATCTGTTCTGCATATTGATTGAAAAGGTATGAAGATAGGATCCATCCCTGACATATACCTTTGCTAATTTTGAACCATGCAGTATTTCCTTGCTCTGTTCTAACAACGGTCTCCTGCTTCAAGTATAGGTTTTACATAAGTATAATCAAGTGTTTTGGGATTCCCATTCTTCTCGGAGTTAGCCAGAGTTTGTTGTGATCCCCATAGTCAAATGCCTCGGCATAGTCAATGAAATTAATAAAACACAGATAGACATTCCTCTGGTACAGATCCATCTAACTAACATTCGCTATAATGTCCTAAGTGCCGTGGCCTCTCCTACACCCAGCCTGCACATCTGGCACTTCTCTGTTGATGTGCTGTTCCAGTCGCTTTTGGATAATTTTCAGCAAGATCTTGCTTGCATGTGTTATTAATGATACTGTTCAAAAGTTTCCACACTGTTGGGTGATCTGGCAGAATGGAAACTAAGCCTGTATGGCACCTCAAAAAGGGAAGGACAATTAATATGTAAAACAATAAACTAAAATTTTCTCATTCTAATGCTCACAATAGTATTTTCTATGAATGAATGAAGAGGGAAACCTCTATGCAGTATAAAATTCAGACTTTTCACCTTCAAAGAATTATAAACCATTCAACTAGCTCTGAGAATTTTTCCCCTTAAACAACTACCTTGTGTGCTCTCTTGCTTTCCTTTTCAACTGACAGCTGCTGGAAGGTCTATTTCACTTTTGTCTTATTACCTTAATAAACCTTTTTCATTTCTTTTGCTAAAACAACATAAAACTATTCTAGCATTAGAATGAGTCCATAAAATTAACTCCAAAGCCCCAAAATAATTTTGAATATATTTATGTCTAGCTAGCTGGTCACACAGAAAATCCCAGTGGTTTAGTCTGCAGGAAGTTGTCCTAACACATCACCTCTCTGGTCATTCCAATCCACCAGCAGCTTCATGGAATAAACTTGGGCAATTTCTTCCTGTGCAATTTACATCCTTGAAAACCCAAATGAAAGTCGGTCAGGAGTCAATTCTGACTTGATGGCAGTGAGTGAATGTGTATAAACAGAACATGCAACGATTTGTCTCCTGGAGTTCGAACTGTGAGGTGCCTTAGAGCTGATGGATTCAACCTGCCTGCCTTTGGGCTGGCAGTACAACTCCTTACCACTAGGTGACCACAGCCCTCTATAAACAGGCATGTTTGGTTTTCTTGTACTTTGCCTTACTGCACTTTTTTGCCTGCACAAATTGAAGGTCTGTGATAACTCTGCATCAAGCAAATCTATCAATGCCAGTTTTCCAATAGCATATGCTCACTTTGTGTCCCTGTAACATTTTGGTAATTCTCACATTATTTCAAACTTTTCCATAATGCCATTGCACACTTCATAAACTATAGAAAAAACCCCACCAAAAACCCAAACGAAGCTGCCGTCAAGTTAATTCTGATTCATGGCAACCATCCATCAGGAATCTGAGGCTATAAATCTTTATGGGAGGAAACTACCCTCTTTATCCTGCAGAAGCTGATAGGTTTGAACTGTCAAGCTTTGGTTAGTGGTCTAACACGATACCACCAAGGGTCTAAGAGACTATAATTTTTTTTTCTTTGAAGAAACCCCCCAAAACCTAACCAGACACTCTGCTAGAGTCAACTCAGCATGACCCCCTACTGGGTTTATGAGGCTCTAAAGCTTAATGAGAGGACATTGTTTGGTCATCTTTCTCCCCTAGAGTGACTGGTGGATTTGAGCCACTGGAGACAAGGGCTTGGCTAGAAGCACAACATGCCATGGACTACCTCACCAGAGCTCCTGATGCAGTTAGGTACCCTCGGAACTTTCTCATTACTGACTCTCCAGTGGGTTTTGAGAGGCAGTAAATGGGACAGAAGACTGCTCATCTTTCTCTTGCAGAGCAGGTAGTGGATTTGAACCATGTGCCTCTGGGTTAGTAATGCAACTCCTTACCACTAAGCCACCAAACCTCCCTTTACATGCACTTGTTGTTAGGTGCCATCAAGTCCAGCACACCTCTTAGCAACCCTATGTCCTGTGCCATCCTCATGGCTGAAGTCACCCTGTCAAGCCACCTCGTTGGGGATTTTCCTCTTCTTTACTGACCATCTTTGCAAGCATGATTTCCCTAAGAAACAGCTGTCTTAGCAACATGGCCAGTATCCTGTGGAATTTATAGCCTCCAAAAAATCTGCTGGAGGGTCAGTTCTGCGTCAGAAGTTCAAACTCAGATGGCAATGAATTTAAGTTTTTATTTTTTCCACATAACACTGAGACAGATCACTGAACCTTATCTATAAATTTGGTGACAATACCTTTAAATGTTTGCCAGACATATTCTGTAAAAGGAAGAACTTAGTACTTGCCTCAGTTGCATATTAAACGTTTGGTTTGTTCCATAGTTTCTCTGCTTCCAAATCTCATGAGATAGCCTACTTTAATGCTATTTTCTATCCAATTTGGATAGTCACAACATTGTCTAAGGCTCCTTTGGGTAGGGAGTTATCTCCCTGTTAGTGACGGGAGGACATTCTAAGTAATGGCCACCCATGTGCATAGGGCACAGCTGTGCTGCATAGAGTTCTTAGGAAATTTTCAAAAACAAGTTGTCAGGTCTGTTGTCCAAAGCACCTCTAGCTCGGTGTGCTAACCGCGGATTCTCACATGCTCTGAACGCCCACTAGCTTATTAAATAAGTTACCTGTAGTGGTTTAAGATGATGAGACCTGTTGTCAATGGCTACACTCAGCTGTTTGAACCCTAAAGTTCTGGCGGGGAACCTGGTAACTCAAGCCACCCTCCAGTAGGTTTGAGGCTATAGAACTTAATGAGCTGAGACTGCCCATCTTTCTCCTGACTCGCTGTTGGTGGTCTGGAACCACCAGAGATATGTATGTAGCCTTTTGGTTATGGGCATCCACATACTACCGGCAATGGCATCGGAACTTCCAATCTTTCTAAAGATTGTTGTTGTGTAACGTCGAGTCGGAACCGACCCACAGCTCCATTGAGTTTTCAGAGGTAGTAATTTGGCACAGGACGGAGCAGAGTTTAGGGCTGTTGGACATAGGGTCGCTATGGGTCACAAGCGACTCGATGGCACGTAACAACAACTGCACAGAAGGAGACCTTCTCTCGCGAAAAAGCTGGTAGATTCGAGCCACAACGGTCGAGCAGTACTGTGTCGTGAGTCCGAATTATTTAATATGTTATTAGAAGCTCTTTGAGAGTAAAGAATTTCTTACTTGTATTCTCTAAGTTTAAACAGTATTCTATAAGTCAAAAGTGTGTTGCAAATAGTTACTGGACTACCAGGACGAAAGTTTTACAATTCCTTCGTGTACACTGCGAGTACAGTCTGAAGACCATGTGAAAAATCTGACAGAACATTTGTGTTGTTGTTATGTGCCGTCGAGTCGTTTCCGACTCATAGCGACCCTATGCACAACAGCCCTAAACCCTGCTCTATCCTGCGCCAACCGCACCGCCTCTGATACACCCATCCCGATTACCCCAGTCACCGAATCAATCCATCTCATAGAGGGTCTTCCCCTCCTGCGCTGTCCCTCCACCCTCCCAAGCATGATGTCCCTCTCCAAGGACCCGTCCCTCCTGGCAACATGTCCAAAGTGACAGAACATTTAGAGTTTAAAATCTTGCAACCTCCTAAAACGGGGTGGCTTCCAATTAACGCAAATGAAACTGTGGCCTGGGTGCAGGGCACACACTTGTTGACACAAAACTGTTACATGTTATCTACTAGCTACTAGTGAATTGTACAGTTTGCTTATATTAAAATTCTAAGTACTTACACAAGTATCACAAAAGATATCTAAGAACTTGTGGAACAGCAAAATTCCTTGGAAACTCTCATGTGGAGCAAATCAAGTTAAACTCTCCTAAATTGCCCTTTTGAGAAATGACATTTAATACTCCAAGGACACTTGGGAAATGCTCTACAGCGATTGAGCGTGCAAACCCCTGCCCAGATGCAACCACGCCCGAACAGCCCACGTGCTCTCTAGCATTTGCTCTCTAAACCGACGTGTTTGTGCCGCGTGACGCAGCTCGCAGGTCCCTGCTCTCACCTGTGGCGTCCTGAACAGTGCCTGATTGTTTTCCTCTATAAAGAAAACGGGTCTTACTCGTCATTAAACGAAAGAACAAAAATTCATTTTTGATGGGTTTTTTTTCTTATAATATTTCCCGTTCCTCTGCGACCAACCGCACGGCATTATATTTTCTGAAATAACAGGGCTTCTTTCCGGACAGCGCCCCGAGTCCTTTTGGGGCTTTCCGCACTGAAGGTGCCGACCGAGTGCGTCACTGTGCAGCGCCGCGTCTCAGGGCTGCTGCGGGCTCCAGGGGAGCTTGTGGCCTCAATGTCCTTACCCCGGTGTGCCCTGTTGTGGGCTCGGTTGCCGACGGGGCCGCAGGCTGGTTACCGGGCAGCTGTCTGCTCTGCCCTTCGATCTCATATTGGACCCTTTCCTGGGACCCTCGGGCGCATCCCAGCCGCTGCCGCGTCCTCCTCTGCCTCGGGTGGTTCCAAAGCCCCGAACACATCCTTGTTCGTACCCCTGCCTGTGAAACCCCAGGGACCCAGCGCGGATGGCGACGTGGGAGCCGAGCTTACTCGGCCTCTTGACAAAGGTGGGCGGGGAGGTGATGTTTGTCTATCCGGCCCAGGAGTGATGACACGAAGCTTCGCTCCATCCCTTGGCGGATCCCGGTCCCTTCGAGCGTTGGCCCAGTGCTTATTAGTGTCCGCTGCCCTCACTGACCTTGTTTCCCTTAAAGGTTGGGGCTGCGTCTGATTTATCCCTAACGACCCTCTCCAGAGGCGGTCTTTTCCCTCCCACTGCCTTCTTCTACCTTAACCCTTTTTGTGTGTGTGTTGTGAAGCGTAACTTTTTGGACTCGTTTGATAGATGATTTCCTTCCACTCATTCTTTGCTCCTTCACCCCTGGCCAGAACCATTGCCCCTGAAATGTGTGTGCAAAACCAGAGGAGGATTTCCGAAGTCTTTGTCATTGATTGGGAGCCAATGCATCCAAGCCCTTGTTAGGACTATTGTGGTTTCCAAGAGAACCCAGATTCAGATACGGGTCGTCTTGGGCAATCGTCTTCTTAGGGAACTTATAGTTTCATGCAGATGGAGGACTTGCAGTTAACCCACTATAATACAAGTGTGTTGTTGAGCTGGGCCTCCAAGAGAAAGGGAACACTTAGCATTGGCAAGTGGCACTGGATTTGTCCCCCAAACCAACCTTGGATAGATTTTACAGGAAGACTTGAGCATGCTTTCAAGAGCTCTGTGTAGTTCCCCATTAGATGGCTGCATTTCTAGTTTCGAGATAGCTGGGCAGAGTTTCCGTCGACCAAATGAAGTGTTGTAGGAGGCTGAGAATCTAATTTTGTTCATTTCTGGAAGCTGTTTCAGGCTGTTCATGAACATTCATGCTTCTATTGTAAGTTTAAAATAAGGCCACAATGTGCTGTGAATCACATTTTGTTTCTTCAGAACAGAGAGATGGTGTTTTCACTAAAAATGTGATGAAACTCACAGTGTAAGTTATTCGTTGACCTATTTCAAGCAGTGTCAAGGAAAACCTTTCACTTTACTGAGGAACCCTGATGGCATAGTAGGTTAAGTGCTGGATTGCTAACCGAAAGGCTCCAGTTCAAATCTGAGGGAGAACGATGGGCAGATTCTCTTTCTGGTAAAATGTGCCGCCTTGGAAACTTGATAGAAGGTCACCATGAGTCGGAAGCACCTCAGCCACTTGGCTGATGGGTTTTGTTGTCTTCCCCCTACTCCCTTTCTTCTTTTCTCATATTTATGGGCTGTATTATTATAAAAATACAGTTGTATACTTTAATAACTTAGTTACTTTCATATAGCGCAGAAAACTTGAAGCACTTACTGTGGAAGATCAAAGACAACAGTATTTAATAAGAGTTCCATCTAAGCATCAAGAGAGGAAAAAAAAATCCTTACCACTGGACCAATAAGCAACATCATGATAGATGGAGAAATAGTTGAAGCTCTCGATGATTTCATTTTATGTGGATCCACAATCAGCACCCATGGTAGCAGCAGTCAGAAAGTCAAAAGATTTATTGCTTTGGAAAAATCTGCTGTCAAGGACTTCTTGAGTATATGAAAGAGCAATGAAGTCAGTTTAAAGACTAATGTGTGCCTGTTCCAAACCATAAGGTTTTAGTTGCTTTTTGTGCATGTGAAAGTTGGACAGCAAATAAACATGACAGAAGAATTGATGCCTTTGAATTGCACTCTTGGAAAAGAGTAGTAAATATACCATTGCCAAAAGAACAAACAAATTTGACTTGATGAAAGTACAACCAGTGTATTCCTTAAAGGATGGTGAAACTTCGTCTTATTTACACTGGGCAAAGTTTCAGAGGGAACCAGTCCTTTATGAGAGACATCATGCTGGGAAAGATAGAGGGCCAGAGAGAGGAGAACCCTCAAGGGATGAATGGACTCACTGACTACCACAGTTGACTTGAGCATGTCAGACCATGAGGATGATGTAGGCGAGGACAGTATCATGGTCATGGTTGATTCAGTGGTACAAGAACATCATTGATCAATGGACTTGATGACAACAATAATGTATTTATGTTAAATTACAGATAAATCCTTTTGTGCTGTTATCCTACCTGTTCAGAAATGTTTTTGCTTTTCATTTAGCCTTAACTGGGAACGATTAGTCATTGTTGCTCCCTGAGTGAAGATATATGCTGTTGTGTGTGGTTGAGTCATACAGCAATTGTGACTGGCCTAATTTTCATTCAGTTACCTTTTCTTCATCAGTAAGATATCCTAATTGGTAAATGAGAATATTGTTTTCTTTGCCCCTTCAGTGTGTTATTGTGAAGTTTTCATATGTTGGTTGAAGTACTTTGACAATATAAAGGGATAAACAAATGTAAACTAGTGACATTTGTACTAAATCTAGTATTTAAAAAATTGAGGTTGTCACTCCATGGTAGAAACAGAGCTCTGTCCGGATAGTGAGTCTGAAGTGTGTGAGACAAAGGCTTGCCTTTTTCAGATCTAAGGAGCATGCTGGCTGTGTTTAACTGGAGCAGTGGATTTAGGCCTTTGGATACTGACATGAGTTTTAAATGTTAGGAAGTTCTACAAATTTGATGGAAGAATGGAAGATTTTACTAAGCTGGCAGCTTTGGTTGGTTTCAGGTAGAGCAGTGAGGGGGAAGGCAGCACCAGTGTTCTGTTCTATGCCGTCTGTCCACATGCGATAGATAGATGAGCTTCTGGAGCATCTCCTCCTGACTTTTGATGCTCACAGGAGGTGGCAGTTGCAAATAGTATTCCTGAATGGGTTTTGCTGTTTCTTTGGGGTTTTGTTTGTTTGTTTTTTTAGCAGTTATGACACTCATAGAAGTTCTCAAGTTCATTAACATAGGTCAGGGTAGTGACCTAGTAGGTTCTCTAGCAGTAGGTGAGTATATACCATTTTGAACTTGAGTTAGAAGCCACTCAGCTCCATATTAATAGAGTGAGCAAGAGTCAGAATTTTTGAGGACACTTGTTTTTCTGCTTGCCTGGACTGGTAGTTTCTGACATGCCATTCTGGGAGTACTGAGGGTATAGCTGAGGGGTTATGATTATGGCATCAGTTCCACTCAGAATTTTGATGATGCTTTTATTACCAGAGGGACTACTCTTCAGCATCTCAAACTGCCTAAAAGGACTTGATGTTAGTTGTAAGAAGAACCTTATAGAAGGATAGAGGCTTCACCAGTTAGTGCAATTTGAAGTAGGTAGAGTTGACACAGACTCTTGTCGGGGTAGAGGGACCAACTGGGCATCCAGTTGCCACATCCATTCCCTGATGGAGCTGGAGAAAAGCCAGAGGCATATGCACTGCTGCATAGCTGCCCAATGAAGTGGTGGTAGTGTTAGCAACTCTTGCACCACATTTCATAATTTTATTTGTGATGATATCAAAAGTTTAATGCAAATTCCTTACAACTATTAAAATAATATTCTGGTACCTCTTTATATTCATCTTCACACATTGTTGTCAAATTGGAACAACTTATGGCTGGCCCTCTAGAAGATTTTAGGGGGCTGTAAGTCATTCACACTTCATATTCATAGGAGAATAATCCTAGGCAGTAAAATTAAAGGGATAAGAATTAAATGCCATTGTTTTGTATTTTTTTATACACTCTCCTCAGGATTGATTGTGGCCTTGTTTAGCAACTCTGGAGTCCCTGGGTGGTATGAATGTTCACATGCTCTTGATGTGTTCCATCCAGTCGGACCCAACCCATAACTGACCCTTTGGCAGGTTTTCAGAGGCAATTAATCATACGGGAGGAGACTGCCCGTCCTTCTCCAGCAGAGCAGCTGGTGGATTCGAACCACCTGTGGGCTCTACCACTAGCCAAAAGGTTGGTGATATGAATCCATCAGAGGCACCTCAGAGAGTTCTGTTGGTTGAGAACTTAGCTGCAAACCAAAAGGTCATTAGCTCAGCACCCAATCCCCCAGCCACTCCTCAGTGGAAGATGCGGAAGTCTTCTTTAGTGATGATCACAGCCTTGGAAACCTTAGTGTGAAGTTCTACTCTAGATTGTGGGGTTACTTACTGTGTGTGTCAGTTAACAACAATGTGTTCAGGGCACTTTAGGTCTGATGATGTGCCTCTGTAAGGTCACAGCTTGTAAAACTGTGGCACACACTTATAATGCACTTGTGGGCTTTCCAGTAGTCAAAGTTGACTGGGTGACAGAGTACAACAAAATTACTCTTTTGGATCCTAGATTTTACTAACCTGTTCTGAGATCCTCTTTCTGCTTAGGTTGAGTTCCATAGCTTCCAGTTCCCCTGTCCAACTCTCCCATGAACATGTAGCTTTGGACTATATTGCATATGCTTTTAGTCAGGAGTACTAGAGCAGAGCAAGCGGATGAAACACTTTAATAGCATGTGTAAACCACCAAGTGTGACAAGTGAAGCAGGAGTAGCACTTTGTTGTCAGTATATGAATGGAGTAAAGTGGCTATTATTTCCATGTAATACACATTTGCAGTCTAGAAGACAAAGTATCTTTATGGGCTATTGTAATATTTTGTCTTAGAAGAAGATGTAATATTAAAGCACCGTGCAGTTGACTTCAAATTTATACTGTGCTCTCTAGCTTCTGGATTTTAGCAAATGTAGTTGAATCTCAGCATAGCCTTGTGAAATACCAAACCAGGCTCCATTTAAAGGTAGCATAAAGGAAGCTATTACTTGGTTAATAGTTATGATGAGCAGCTCATTTCTGTTGTTGCTCTTGTTAGAGTTATCGTCTAGTTATTCCTGACCCCTGACAGTCACACATGTGCATGGCAAAACTTCTCTGTAGGGTTTTTTCCAAGACTATGACTTTTCAGAAAAAAGCCCGTCTTCCAAGGTGCCCTGGGTGAGTTTGAACCACCAACCATCTGGCCAGTAGTCAAGCAGTTAATTGTTTCTACCACCCAGGGACCCGCCTCCTTTCTGCTCTGGCTGAAATCCAGAGTGTCTTTTTTAATTACTTGTTAATTTTAATGAGAAATAATTATGACCAAAATTCAGGTCATTCTGTTAGGAACAATGAACAATAAAAGCTTTATTTCTTTAAAACAAAAACTTGGGCTTTTATATACTTCTGTATCAGGTTTTTCAAAAAATATCTTTTTCAGTATCATTTTTATTGTGTTAAGACTTTTACAATTATTTTTTTAAAGTTATTCATTTTAAGAATTCTTTTTAGATAAAGTTTTGTTACAGAGAATCATCACGTTTCAATGTATAGTATTAATTTTTAAAAAATACCTTTACTATGTTATAATTTATGGACCATTCAGTCCGTTCACCCACTTAAAGTGCATAATCCCATGAGTTTTAATATATTTGAAAGGTGTAAGCTATCATCACAATCTTAATTTTAAAATATCCCCTTTATCAGTCTCCATCCATTCCCTCCTAAGCCCCATCACCCACTCTTCTACTTACTGTCTCCATAGATTTGCCCAATCTGAACAATTCATACAAATAGTACTCAGTAGGTGGTCTTTATAACAAGAAACCTCCCATTTTTTTAAAAGCATTTTAAAGTGACTAAGGTAGCATGATTATTACATGATACTGGGATGCCGAGGTGTTTTCTATGGAAAATGGGTTAATTTAAATACTTATGATCTGCCTTTTGTGCAGAATATAAAGATCAGGGGAATTTTCCCAAACAGCCTCTCTCCGTGTGTGTGTGTGTGTGTGTGTGTGTGTGACGCATTTAGTTGTAGTCAAATGTAGTGGATAGATAAATCAGTGATTCTGAAATTCCCTCATTATGCAAAGCTGAGTTTTGCTAGTGAAAGGCTTTAATCATGCTTCATTTGTGCAGGGAGTGTTGTTTAAGCATGGCTTTGTGAGAGGTAGAATATTGGCCACTGGTCTGTGTTTCATGGGCAAAGACTGTGTCCTCAGTTTTGGCCTGTATTCCCAGAAATGCACGTGTGAATGGATCAGTAAAATGACAGTAGTCTTCTTGTACATGTACAGTATTAATCCTATCTCAGATTGATTAAATAATTTCCATTTACAAAACTTTGATTCATAATGACATAATACCTCAGGGAACCTCTAAGTCACACTCCCCTGCAGCACAGACATTTTTCTGACATCATTTTCTAATCTTTGAGTACTTCCAGCTACAGACTTTTTTTAGCTGAAGATAATCCTTATTCTCTGTTCCAGTTGTAGGAAATACTTCCAGAGATAATCACTGAAAATCTGCTGTTCTCAACCCCACTGACATTGAATCCTAGAACAAAAGAATTGTAATAGTTTGTTCCTAATACCATCTTCAGACTAAAGATCATTGCTAGCACCTTTAATTATTTGCATAAACCACACTATTTTGGTTCTTACAGTGTTACACTCTGTGGATACATTGTAGCAGCTCAGTACTTGATGCTCTGCTGGTTTGAGTATATTAGAGGTTAAGGTCTGTCTTCTCTGATCCTTCATCACTTTGCTAATAGGAATACTGCAGTTATATGAATATACAGCCCTCACACAGTTTTAGCTGGTGATTAACCAAAAGCCTCACTTTTATTGCTCTACTCAGTAGATTATTGCTCTAAACATTACAGTTTGAGTTTTATTTTGTCTTTTGGTTACTTCTCTGAGATAAGAAACAAATGTTACATTTTTCTGTCTTTCTTCCAGATGAAGTTAAAAAGATCTTAGACAAGTTTTACAAGAGAAAAGAAATTCACAAGCTGAGTGCTGATTATGGACTTGATGGTAAGATTCTAGGAATCTTTTATAAATTCTTTATGTCAGTGTTGTGTGGGACCCTGTGGGACCTGGAAGATGTTGTCTACTGTGATCTGGAGATGTGTCCCTGACCTTTGCCTCTCTGTTGGAAGGACATTGGCAGGACTGACCTGAGCTACACTGCATGGCAGAGAGGGAGGCCTCATTGCTAGAATCTATGTAGACCTGGAGGTGGGGAGAGCAAGTGGCAATCTCCATCCACCTCTTGAACTTGTTGAAGGAAAAATATTTCTGTCATTTGTGTAACGAGGAAATGTTCTGATGTCCTAGCCTTTCCCAGTGTTAGAGACTGTGAAGTCAGAAATACCCTTAAAAAATGTTTGCCTGTCTATAGTTTTATGTTAGAAAAAGGGATTTTTGTGTTCTTGACAATTCCTGCTCTCTAGAAAAACTAAAGACATGCCAGTAAGGTACATTTCTTTTTTAAATAATATGAGTTTACTTACAAAATTCTAATACATTGTATTTGAGAACAGATTCTTCCAGTTTCCCTCACCCCTACCCCCAGCACCCATCAGATTCTACAACACTGTGATTAATCCTCCCCTCCCCCCTGCACATCCTCATCCCTCTGCTTCCACCCTTCCCCACCCACTTTGGATCCTTATACTCATTCTACAATAATGGTTTTATACAATATTTGTTCTTGTGGGACTGAGTTAGTTCACTCAGCGTAATGCTCTCCAGTCCCTCCCAAGTTGGGTAATAATTTTAAAAAATCATTGTTCCTGCATGCTGCATAGTATTCCATTGTGTGAATGTACCATAATTTCTCAATCCATTCATTTGCGGTTGGACATAAGGTACATTTCTGATTAAATGTCATCATGCCTTTGAACTAACTGTATCTAAGAAAGAAGTTTAAAATTTCTTTTTAAGACAAACAGACTTAATAAAAAGGATGCTTAAAAAGTAATTTTAAGACAGTGTGATGACTTGTTTAGTGTGTTTGTGTACTGTTATGTTGTTGTTTTTTTTTTTTCACTGAATACTAAGCTCTGCCTGTTTTGATTTTATATTTACAGCTCGTCTCTTCCACCAAGCTTTTATAAGCTTTCGAAATTACATTATGCAGTCTCACTCTCTGGATGTGGACATTCACATTGTTTTGAATGATATCTGTTTCAGTGCAGGCAAGTGTGTAGAGATGTTTTTTAAAATCCTTTAAAAAATAGCTTTCTATTTCTTTGCTTCCTGAATACTTCTCTAAACCAAACTGAATCATTTCCAACTCAGGGTGACTCTGTTCTTAGAACTTCTGTATCAGATTTCCCTGGCATCTCTACAGAAGCAGAGTCGCTGGTGAGTTTGAACCACTGAGCCTTCTGTTAGCGAGGAGTCTTTTCCACTGTGGCACTGGGCTCCTTCTTGCCTGTTTCTCTGGGCAGGATTTGTTTTAGAAATGATCCAAGCAGCATTCTCTGAGGATAATGCATTGTTTTGCTAGAAGATTCTTTTGCTTTTTATAGTGAGTCTCTGAGCTAGTTATTACATTACCCACATGTCTTAGACCAGATAAAGACTGGGCCTTATCTGTTATAATCCATCCTCCACTATGTATTAATGTGAAATGAGCTCTGGTGGCTTAGTGTACTATGTGTGTGTTGTTAATCCAAAGATTGGCAGTTTGAATCCACACTGCTTTGTGGGAGAAAGACAGCAGCTTTTCCCTGCAAAGATTTGCAGCCTTGGAAACCTCAGTGGACAGTTACTCTGAGTCAAAATCTGTACTGTAGGAGTAGGTTTGATTTTTGGCTTTTTGAACTTCCATGCAAATTCTAACCTGCTTTATGCTAAAACATCTGTTAATGCTTCTGATTTGTTTCCCTCTCATATGAGGACAAAGTTCTTGCTCTAAGAGAATGAAAAACAAAACTGAGAACATTGTTTATTTTATTCTCGTGAACAATTTGACTTTGGTTATATTTTTTTAAGGTCTAGGTGTCTTTGGTTATATTTTTAAAATTTATTTGGTTTTTATAAGACTTCGACCATATGTCTGGCACTGAGGTAAAACTTGGATACAAAATAGAACGGGCCTTGATCCCATCCTTGACTTGGAGCCATTATGGCTGGAGAATTCTCACTGAGGAATGAACTTTCATATTCTTTATTTGTGATCTTTGTAACACCATAAAATGTTTTTAAAATAGTAAATGTTTTAAATGGTAGTTGCTAAATATTTATACTTGCACTTCTTTTCATGTAACCATAGGCTTTATTACCAGTTTCAGGTTCTTTATTTTTCTTTTTTTCTCCTTCTCTCTTTCTCTACCCCTTTTTACCTGTGCTGATTTTTGTCTGTGTTGCCTGAGGGAATAAAATAGAGTGTTTTGGCAACTAATTTTCTAGGTTTTTGAAAATATAAGCTAACTTTGAGGGAAGCTCAAGAGAGACACTGGAATCCCTAAAAAGGACAAGGCCACCGCCTCCAGCTCTTTTCTGTTTGTCCTGCAATGTCACCCGCACTTAGCGCACTCATAAAAAAGATTTTATTAACGTTAGGGCGCTCTGGTGGCCTACTGGCAAGAAGCTGCACTGCAATCCCAGAGGTATGCAGTTCGAATCCACCAGATGCTCTGCAGGAGAAGGAGGGGCAATTTCCTCCTGTACCTGTCAGATCCGATTTGACAGTTCTCTCTCTCTCTCTCTCTCTCACACACACACACACACACACACACAAACACACAGATTTCATTAACTTCAGTATGGTCAACATATAAATTGTTTATGTTAACAAACGGTATTTTATTTTCCAGCTCATGTGGATGATTTATTTCCATTTTTCTTGAGACATGCAAAGCAGATATTTCCTGTGTTGGAATGTAAGGATGATCTACGTAAAATCAGTGACTTACGGATACCTCCAAACTGGTTAGTTTCTTCATTGGTGGATTTCTGGTCATGGGAGATTAGTGATGCTTTTCATTGTGTGTTGGACTAGAAATTGTATGGAGTCTGGATGTGTTGTTTTCTTTAGAAAAAATGACATTTAATTCTGGTTGGCACTTGACTGATGAGTCCCTTTCATACAAATGAGGGTTTATTAGGTAGATATCAAGTAGCCCTTCAGTGAGACTGTTACTCTTAGACTTTCCATCTTTCTTTCTTTTCTAGAACTTTCCTTCTCAGCAGTTGGTGACCTGTCTGAGATTTTCCACACTCATTCCCCTTAGCAGGTTGTCTCTGCTTGACCTCTCCAAGTCTCACTTTGCACTTGTTAGTTAAGGCCAGGACTACATGGAACCCCTAAACAGACTTTAGGTCTTTTCCTCCCTTTCCTCTCTTCCATACTTTGCCTTTCAATGACAGTCCTGTCCACATCTTTGAATTTGATCTTCACCTCCTCAGTTCACTGGGATGAGGTAGAGCTCATCTCAAGCTTTCCTTCTTTCAGGGTAGCAGTCCTCCACTGCCAGTTCTTTGTACCCCAGAATAGTTGCCACATATGTTTTTCCCAATTTTGTGTTCATTTATTGTGAGAGGGCAAGTCCAATACCACGGCCATTGGAAGCTTTGTTGTTGCTGTCTCTATGTACTGTTGAGTCAGAACTGACTCACTCATCTGACCCTCTAGCAGATTTTCAGAGGCTGTAAATCTCATAATAAGAGATTGCCTATTTTTCTTCCTGGAAGCAGCTGGTGGATTTGAACCACCTGCTTTTGGATTGGTGGTACAATTCTTTCTCCCTGAGCACCAGAGTTCCCTATTGGAAGCCTCAGTCATTGTTTTTACCCTGAAATTCAGAAGCCTTTGAGTATTTGCTTAGAGCTGTGGGGATGATGTAAACATATTTATGTTGCTGAGAGTATTTTAACTTACTGAATAGAACTTCTGTGATGAAAAAAAGAACTTCTGTGATGAATGAACGTCTAAAGTGGGAAAAACATCTAAAAAATTAATATGCATTTATATTTTCTGTTGAGAGAAAGGCTAGTAGATGCTGCTTTTGGAACTTAGGTGAATATGCAACCTGTTGTTTAGTTTTTCAATGGAGCTCTCTCATGAATGTTAAGAGTGTATTTCATTTAGGAATTTTTTTCAATTGATACGTTTTCCAGGGTGGATCTGAGGTTAGCAGAATTGAGTTGTTTTTCTTCTCATGTTTCAGGTACTCAGAAGCCAGAGCCATACGGCGAAAGATAATCTTCCATTCTGGCCCCACCAATAGTGGGAAGACTTACCATGCGATCCAGAAATACCTGTCAGCAAAATCTGGAGTGTACTGTGGTCCTTTAAAACTGCTCGCACACGAGATCTACGAAAAGAGTAATGCTGCTGTCAGTAATGCCCACACACTCAGTGTTACTTTGCATTGTATTTTTGGAGGGTGGAGTTTAAGGTTTTGAGTGGGGGAAAGTCATATTTCATAATTTACCATCAACAAAAATTGATTTTATTTTATCAAGGCAAAGAAGTCATTTATTCTAAGAACTCAGCTGATTGCGTTGAGTTGGAACCGACTTAGCTGACCCTCTATTGGGTTTCTGAGGATGTAAATGCTAGAGGAGGAGTGTCCACATCTTTATCCCTAGGAGCCACTGGTGGGTTTGACCTGCCAGAGAGGTTAACAGCACAGCTCTCCACAGACCATACAAAGGACTATTACTTTATGTGTAGCTAAGAAAAAGACGGCTGCCAGCTGAACTCTGCCGTTTCCCAGTGTTAAATTCTGATTTCAGACACGTTAAAATGTGAAAAGATACGTACATTAGAATGATGATGTTGTTGTTGTTGTTGTTATGTGCAATTGAGTCAGAAGCAACATGTGGGCCTTCCAGTGGGTTTTCAGAGGCTAGAAATTGCAAAGTGGGAAGATTACCCATCTTTCTCCTATGGAGCTTCTGGTGGATTTGAACTCCCTCCCTTTGAATGGGCAGCACAACTTCTTACTCATTGGGTCACCGGAGCACACTGCATAAAATGAGTGACATAAAAAACCCGTATGGCATATTTTACGTTAATGGGGAAGTACAGAGATTTACACAGTAACTTCATGACCTTTATCTTATTTTTTCAAATCCTAGCATTTTTGCCAGTTTTATATCATGTATAGAGAAAAAATTTTGGATATAGGTGAAACTCTCCCTGACCCCTTTTTTCTCCTTCCTTAGAGTTAATCACTACTTGGAGTTGATGTTTGTTTTTTAAATAATCAGACCTCTGATATCATCAGAACTGGTAGTAAAGACTGAAGCAACCCTTTCAAAATTATGAAGAATAGAATGGTCTATAATCCTAAAACATTTCACTAAATAGAGCACTATTTTTTAGGAGTATGTACATTTTGGGGAATGTATGTGTGTGCTTTCTTTTTCATTGTAATTTTAACGAAAGTTTACAGAAAGGTTAGGTTTTCATTTATTCATTGATGTGCATTCTCCCCCCATTCACTTTGTAATGTACTTCTTGTTCCCAGATTAATTGTGATACATGTAATAGACCATGTTTTAGATCATTGTATTAAAATTTTATAATGTGAGTTAGACTAGTTTTGTTGTATTTTTTAATGCCTTTTCTCCATTATTTTTCTAAATAATTTGAGTAATTTGTGTTCTTAATACCTGAATTTTCTTAAATACTCAAAGATTTAGTTTATATAACCACGAAATGTTTATTAAAAAAATTAGTAATTATAGAATACCGTTATTTAATCCACCACCATCCATGTTCCATTTCTTCCAGTTATTCTGTAATGTCTCCTTTCCCTTTACTGATCTAGAATTCCATCTAGGGTCTCACACTGTATTTGGCTTTTATGTCTCTGATTTTCTTTAATCTGAGGGCAGTTCCTGCATCTTCTACTTTTTTTTTTTTTTTTACATAATAATTTTTTATAAAAAAAACAAAATTTTTTTTTTTTTTTTCCTATAATTATATTTTATTAATTTTCATAAACATTTACAGAGATTTTGCTGCATCTTCTACTTGTGTTGACATTTTTTAAGATTGCAGGTCAGTTGTTTTATAAACTGTCCCTCAGTTTGGATATGTTCAGTGTTTTGTCATAATTTTAGGTCACTAGGGTGATCAACTTTCCCATTTTGCTTGGAACTTTGGTAAATTTAGCACTGAAAATCCTTTTGTCCTGTGTAAATGAAGGCATAGTTGGTTACCCTAATACACCACCACATTGCTATTGATCCTCAAGGCATCAGGTCAATGAGACTTTTACATTCTTTTTTTAAATTTTTTATTTTATTTTTTATTTTATTATGGGGGGAGGTGTGTGTGTACCATCAAATCAGATCTGACTGGTACAGGAGGAGGTTGTTCCTCCTTCTCCAGCAGAACATCTGGTGGATTTGAACCATGCACCTCTGGGATTGCAGTTCAGCTTCTTGCACTAGGCCACCAGAGCTCACCACAACTTTTACATTCTTAAACTTTCTTAAATGTTTTTCTTGATTATAGAAATAATCTTATTGTTTTTATAAAGGCAGATTATAGGAATATATAACTTTAGAGTCAAACTGCTGTAATTTCTAATGTTTCTTTGTTGTTAGCTCAGGATTTGGCTTGCTTGTTGTTGTTGTTGTTATGTGCCGTCGAGTCGCTTGCGACTCATAGCGACCCTACGTACAACAGCCCTAAACTCCGCTCTGTCCTGTGCCATTTGCACTGTCTCTGACACTCCCATTCCAATTATCCCAGTCACCGAATCAATCCACCTCATAGAGGGCCTTCGTCTCCTGCGCCGTCCCTCCACCCTCCCAAGCATGATGTCACTCTCTAAGGACTGGTCTCTCCTCACAACATGTCCAAAGTATGTTAGACGGAGCCTCAGAATCCTTGCCTCCAAGGAGCCACCCAGTTTAACACTGACTCACTCATCTGACCCTCTAGCAGATTTTCAGAGGCTGTAAATCTCATAATAAGAGATTGCCTATTTTTCTTCCTGGAAGCAGCTGGTGGATTTGAACTGCCAGCCTTTCAGTCAGTAGCCAAGAGAGACACCATTGCTCTTCAGTACTTTGGAGAGGTCCCTAACAGCAGACTTTCCCATGGCAATGCACCTTTTAATTTCCTGGCTACTGGTGCCAAGACTGTTGACTACAGAGCCAAGCAAACTAAAGCTGTGGTACAATCTCAATCTCTTCACCATCCATCCTGATGCTATACCAATTGACATATTTCAGTTAACAGATGCTGCTCTGGACGTGCTCACCAAGTTGTGCCAAGAAATCTGGAGAAATCTGGAAGAATCTGGCTTGTTTGAGATATTTCTAAATTTATATAGACTGTGTAAGAGAGTGGTCTTTGTTTTTATATATAAAAGTATTTTCTTTCCGTTATTAAGTAAATATAATGGTAATAGAGAGAATCCTCTCTTTAATACACAGAATTCCTTTTGGTACTTTTTTCAAAGGAAGAATAATTCTAGGTTGCTTTTTGTCGTCCCAGGGAGTACCATGTGACTTGGTAACAGGCGAAGAGCGGCTGACTGTGGATCCAGATGGGAAGCAGGCTGCCCATGTTGCTTGTACTGTTGAGATGTGCAGTGTCATAACTCCTTGTATGTATATGATGTTTTTGAAACTTTATGTTTTTGTAAAAATGCATCAATGAAATAGTATTTTCTTAGTTATGAAAAAAAGAATTGAGAAAAGTACCTGTATCTTGGCTCCATAATACTGCTGTCATTAAAGTACTACAGGTAGGTGTCTTAATTCTAGAGGCTTACAATCCCAGAGTTGGGCTGGCTGATCCCTTCCTGGATTGTAGCACTGGTCTTCCTCGGGGATGCCTTGGTGTCGCCTGTATTTCCCTGTGTGTGTGTCTTCTGTGTCTAATCTGCTCTTGTTATACATTTAGAATTTACCACTACTCAGGTATGTTCTGGCTAATGTGACACAGGAAGTACTACTTCTAAACAGGTATACAGGTGCTGGTGAAAGACGTTAGGATTCTAATATATATTTTGGTATAAATCATTTTATCTCTTACGGCCTACTAACAATACTTGTAAAAGTTTAAATTCTGTCATATTTGATTTTGAATGTTCTTTTTCATTTTTTCCCCCTAGAAGAACTAACTCATTAAGATTATTTTCCTTTGTACCACTACTCAGTTCAGTTCTTCCCTTTGGATATCACTGGGATATATTAATTTTCTGTACACAGAGCCTTGTGTTTTAAAACATTAACGTGATTATCATATCACACCTGTGGTTCTGCATGTTGCTTTTCTTTATTCCATGTAATATGTTTATAGATATAATATCCCTTTTTTAACCCTTTTTATAATTATTTTTAAAATTTTATTCTGATAGAGGATCTTACTGATTTGTATTAATCAAGTTTATTTTTTGTTGTATTTCATTTTATGTCTAAAATTATTCATTATGCTATTATAGGAAATTTAGTTTGTTTAGGAGGAGCTTATGCTAGCTGAAAGTTTGGTGATTCAAACCATCTCAAATAGCTCTTCAGGAGAAAGACTTGCTTGTTTGCTTCCACAAAGCTTACAACCTAGAATATTTGATGGGTCATTCTCCTTTATCACTTGGAGTTGTGGGAGTTAGAATGAACTTCCTGGCACTTAACAACAACTACAGGTGGCTTAAATTATTTTGCTGCAGTGTCTACTGCTGTAATGCACTACTGTGTAAACTGTTTTGAAAACTCTTAAAAGAAAAATTCATTTTATCTTCTTTCATAAATAATTGTTTCATCATTATAGAAAATAGAAACATTCACGGGGAAGAAAACAAGCACACACAGTCCCTCAGTGTCAGTGTCAGCCAACCAGAAATAAGTATTCTGCTGCGGCTCTGCCTTCTGGTTGATTCCAGGTCAGTGACCCTGTGCTGCACAGGGGAACTGCCTCCGGGGGGTTTCTAGGCTGTAATTTGTACAGGAAGGAGCTCTGGTGATGTAGTCCTCAGCGTGTTGTGCTTCTAAAGCTTACAAAAGTTGTACGTCTCTGCTAGCTTGAATCTACCAGCAGCTCAGAGGGAGAAAGATGGACAATCTCCCTCTGTTAAGATTTACAGCCTGGGAAACCCAACAGAGGGTCCCTGTGACTCAGAATCTACTCATTGGCAGTGGGCTTTTCTGTTTGAATGTTTACAAGATCACATAGCTAGATCTTTCTCCTTAGAGCCGCTGGTGGATTTGAACTGCCAGCCTTTCAGTCAGTAGCCAAGTACTTAATCATTGTGCCAACATGGCTCTTAGTTATTATACTTAGTTATTAAGGATAGTGGTGTCTGCTTTCCAGACTGTTTATGTTTATATTGCAAATACATGTACTCGTGAGTGTATTTATTTGATAAATTTGGGATTATGTATTTATTACTTATTAGCTTATTTTGCACATTTTAATAGTGATAACTTTCTGAGTGAAGAAATAGTTTTTAAAAAACAGTTTAGGACATGTATCACTTCCTTAGCCCGCCCCCTTGGAAAAGAAGTGGCTGAGACGACAGTATCATGACTCCACCAGTCCCAGGCCTGGCCACCGGTGGCTCTGGGGAGGTGGACAAGCTGTTTGACGTGAAGAACGCCTTCTAAATTGGCAGTTACCGGCAGTACATCAACGAGGTGCATTGAGTGAAGCCTTTGAGTCCAGAGAGCGACCTGGAGCAAGATGTTTTCTATACTGAGCATACCTTGCATAAAGGAAGTATGGCATGGTGCTGGATAAAATCAAGTCCTCTTCTGTCCTGGAGCTGCAGCCTGTGTGCATGCTTGCTGAGTACCTTGCCAGTGAGAGCCAGAGGACACAGTCATGGCATACCTGGCCCAGGAGATGAGACGCAATGTGGATGTGACCAACACTACCTTCCTGTTCATGGCCGCTTCCATCTACCTGCATGATGGGAACCCGGATGCCACACTGAGGGCCTGCACCAGGGTGACAGCCTCGAGTGCTTGGCCATCGTACTGCAGATCTTGCTGCAGCTGGACCGCTTGGACCTTGCCCTGAAGGAGCTGAAGATGTAGGACCAGGACAAGGACACCACCCTCACCCAGCTGGCCACTGCCTCGGTCAATCTGGCTGTGGGTGGTGACAAGCTGCAGGATACATACTACGCCTTCCAGGAGCTGGCCAACAAGTACTCATCCACCTTGCTGCTGCTCAGTGGCCAGGCCGCCTGGCACATGGTTCAGAACCACTGGAAGAAGGCCGAGGGCGTGCTGCAGGAGGCACTCGACAAGGACAGTGGATACCCAGAGGCGCTGATCAACCTCATTGTCCTGTCACAGAACCCGGGCAAGCCCCCTGAGATGTCACAGCTGAAGGATTCCCGTAGGTCCCACTCATTCATCAAAGAGTACCAGGCTGAGAAGAATGAATTAGACCGGCTGGTCCTGCAGTAAACTCCCAGTGTGTGAGGCTGGCCTGACCCTGAGCCCATCCATGTGTCCATCCCACCAGTACCCACCACTTGTCAGCCAGACCCTGGAGGCTTGGTTTCAGCACCCACATCTCCTATCAATAAACAGACCTGACTGGGGCACCACACTCGACAACCCTCCGGCCCAAAAAAAACCCACCCCAAAACCAACCAACCAACCAACAAACAAACAAAAAAACCCAGTTTCTTATCAAATATGTAGTGTATGTTTATGAACTGTAACATAAAATTGTGAAAATTCAAATAACAGAAGTTTATTTATTTATTTTTTAATTGTATTATTTTTACGTGTACCGTCAAATCAGATCTGACTGGTACAGGACAGAAGTTTATAAATCGAGATTCCCTCTTCTGCCTCCTCTTTTCTAGTCATATTTGTGTTGTATAATCTGATGTGCTGTTGTTGATTGCCTTTGAGTCAAGCATGACTCATAGCGACCCTATGAACTCAAGGCCTGAAGCCCCTCTAAAACTATCAACATTTATCAAAGTTCATAGAGTTTCCAGAGGCATGTTGTTTAGGAAGTGTATGCCACTCCTGCTTCCAAAAATCTGATGTAGAAACTAAATTTTTTGGGGGAGGGTGGCATGCAGAGGCCTTCTGAAAAACCCAGAAGACCTGCTAGACAAATTAAAAAAAAGCTGTAGCACTAGAAAGTAATTTTTAATCTGATGGTTTTTCAGTATAAAGTTAGCTTTTTTAAACTATCTTGTCTTTGAAGGTATTTTTAAGTTTTGGATTTGTTCCTGAGTTTTCACTTCTGATTTGCTGGTAATTTGGAAAGAAAATAGAATGATTTTATAATGTATTGATTTATGGAAAATAAAGTAGTATTATTGGAAGCATGTTAGCATTAGGAAATAAGTGGGGACCCCTATTTTTTGTCATAGTGATGAGCTTAAAATTCCTACAAATGAGCAGAGTGGGAACCTGAGGAATTACACCTTCCAGGTCACTTCCTGCTCCTGAGAACGGCCTGGTTTCTGTGGTACACATCCTTCCTCTAGTGCGTGACACCTGCCTCCTTGTTCTTGGAAGCATGTAAAGTTGCTTTCTTTTTCAGCTTTTTGGGCATGTGAGTTCACAGAGATCCTCTTGACCATCTCTGAGATGGCAGAAAATGGGGTGAACCTGCTTGGTTTTAAAGTTAGTGTGGCATTGTATTTCAGAGTGTGCATTTTGGAACCAAATGGACTGAGGTATAAAGTCATCCTGTTAATTAACTATATAAACTTAGGTTGGTGCCTTAACTTCTCTGGGCCTCAGTTTATTCTTATGTAAAATTGAAATAGTAATAATTTTGACCAAATAGGTTTGTTGTGAGAATTAAATTAATTACTTCGTAAAATAGTTAAAATAACTTCTAAGAAGCAGCTATAAAGTTTTAGCAGCTGCTACTATGGTAGTGGTGGTGCTGGTGAAAGGTTGAGTTTGGTGTGGTAATCTCTTTACATATTAAGTGGATTGTTCTGCTCATATAACTTTTTTATTTTAAGATGAAGTGGCTGTAATTGACGAAATTCAAATGATTAAAGATCCAGCTAGAGGATGGGCCTGGACCAGAGCGCTTCTAGGTTGGTGTTCTTAGTGCTAAAACCTGGGTGCTGAGATTGACACTGAGGTTTTCTTGGGTTTTGTAGTATTTATTTTATCAGCTCATCTCTTATTTAACTAAAAGATGTCCTCCAGGAATGTTTTGGTTTAATGTTTAAAAAGAGGGAGTCTTTTGGTTTTAACCAATCTGGTAAACCTGGACTTTTAAAGAACTTAAATTCTGTCCCATATTTCTCTCAAGATCTATCTGTTGTGTGACTCTGATCACAAAAGTAGAGTAGCCGGGCACTATTTAGTTCTTCTGATCGGCACTGAGTTTTGTTTATCTGCCTGACGTTGCCAGTAAAGCTGGCAAGATCAGACAAAAAGCCCTGATTGTGAGTTTATGTTCTCTAAATATTTTTTAATAATAGGAGGTTGATGTTTCCTATTAAAATGAGCATAGCCTTGTAATTACAAATTAAAATTTTCAAATATTACCGTATTTACACAACAACTATTAATATTTTAGCCAGCTTCTGGCCAGTTGTGTTTTTTTTTCTTGTACACATGATATTTTGTGTTTTGCTTTTTGCTTTTTTTTTTTCTTCTTTATTGTTTCCTAGACATTTTTGTTTATATTTTAAAATATGGCTGGATATTTTCATATGTCCAATTGAAGAGCTGTGCTAAAATTTGTTGCCATATTAGTGAACTGTTGCTGCTAATGTTGCAATAAGCATCTTTGTGGCATTTTCTCTTTTTGTTACTTGTTTATTTACTTTTTATTTTTTCAGGGATAGGCTCCTGAATTCCACTGGACAATATGAATGTTTTTCTTATTTGGGGATGTTTTGAAATATGCAAATAAATAGCTCAACTCTTTGTTCAGAAGATACATTGAAGGCTGTTGGGTAAAACAGATGAAAGTAGATTGGCTCAGGGGTTAGGAGCATGGTTCCTTCCACCTTTCAGCCTCTTGGGCACCTCAGTCTTTCCAGGGGTCTGATTTGAAAAACTCAAGCATAGGATGGTGCTCCATACTCAGCACTGAACTGCTCAGTTCTAAACTTCGTTGACTATAATAGATTCCAAAATCTTGACAAAAATAGTTTTTAAAACTCTCTGAGATTTCTAATAATAAGGATAATCATTGCCCTCTAGAAGTTGGTTCTTTGGTTAAAACCAAAGGAATAGTATTTGTGAAAACTTGGTAAAGCTGTAAAACAGTTGGTAATCAATTCTAAGCTATTTATTCTGTGTAAAGTGTTACAAACTTTAATTTTGCTTGCTGTCTTTTAAAAAATATGTCAATTCTGCATGTACAGGACTCTGTGCTAAAGAAGTCCATTTGTGTGGAGAATCTGCTGCTATCGACCTGGTGACTGAGCTCATGTACACGACTGGGGAGGAAGTGGAGGTAAATGCTTTTCCATATTTTCTCTTGGAAAAATAATTGGTATCGGTCCATTTTAGCTGTTCTTACAGCTTTTTCTTTATAGTCACAAGAACTTGAGTTTTGTCTGTTATTTTACAGGATCATTTTTTTGTTGTAGGTTCGAAACTATGACAGGCTCACCCCTATTTCTGTTCTGGATCGTGCATTAGAGTCTTTAGATAATCTTCGGCCAGGGGACTGCATTGTCTGTTTCAGCAAGAATGATATTTATTCTGTGAGTCGACAGATTGAAATTCGGGGGTTGGAATCAGCTGTTATATATGGCAGTCTCCCACCAGGTAAGGCTGGATTTTCATCATGACACGATACAAAATAGCTTCTTTTTGGACTTTATGTCGAGATATATATAAAAAAACACTTCAGTAAAAGGTAGTGGATTAAATTGTTTGACAGATGAGTATTTTAATCTAGTTCATAAAAAATAATGCTTTTATTTCAGTGAGAAGAGAGTGTTTTAATTAATTGTAGATCTTTTAATTAGCTGCTAGTAATAAACTACATTTTTTAAAATAAACTGCATTTTAAATGGTGGTGGTGGTGGTGTTGTTATGTGCTGCCGAGTCACCTGCAACTAATAGTGACCCTGTGTACAACAGTCCTAAACCCTGCTCTATCCCATGACAATCTCTCCGACACACGTACCCCAGTTATCCCAGTCACTGAATCAATCCACCTCATCGAGGGTCTTCCTCTCCTGCGCTGTCCCTCCACCCTCCTAGGCATGATGTCCTTCTCCAAGGATTGGTCCCTTCTTGCAACATGTCCAAAGTATGTTAGACGAAGCTTCAGAATCCTTGCCTCCAAAGAGCAGCCTGTTTTCACCCTCTCCAGGGTGAACCTGTTAGTTTTCTTAGCAGTCCATGGTATATTCAATACTCTAACACCACAGCTCAAAGGTATCAATTCTCCTTCTATCATCCCTAGTCATTGTCCACCTCTCTGATGCATACCAAGGACGATGGCCTGTATTAGACACACCTTAGTCTCCAGAATGACATCATTGCTCTTCAGTACCCTGGAGAGATCCCTAACAGCAGACTTGCCCATCGCAATACATCTTTTAATTTCCTGGATCCTGGTACCAAGAATGTTGACCATAGAGCCAAGCAAACTAAAGCTGTTAACAGTCTCAATCTCGTCACCATCCATCCTGATGCTGTCAGTTGGCCCAATGGTGAGAATCTTTGTTTTCTTGCTATTGAGCCTCAATCCATATTGAAGGCTGCAGTCCTTGACCTACTTCACCACGCTCTTCAGGTCCTCCTCAGTTTCAACAAGAACGGTTGTATCATCTACATAACACAGATTGTTGATTAATTTTTCTCCAGTCCTGATGCCACATTTCTCCTCATAGAGTCCATCCTCCCAGATAATCTGTTCTACATATAGGTTGAAAACGTATCAGATAGGGACATATCCCTGGTGTACACCTTTTCCATTTTTGAACCATGCAGTGTTTCCTTGCTCAGTTCTGACAACTGCCTCCTGGTTCAAGTGTAAGTTTCACATTAGCACAATCAAGTGTTCTGGGATTCCCATTCTTCTCAGAGTTTGCCAAGTTTATTGTGATTCACATAGTCAGACACATTTGCATAATCAATTAAATACAGATAGACATTCCTCTGGTACTCCCTGCTTTCAACCAAGATTCATCTGACAAACATTAGCTACAATATCCCTAGTACCGCAACCCCTTTTAAACCCAGACTGCACTGTGGCAGTTCTCTGTTGATGTGCTGTTCCAGTTGTTTTTGGATAATCTTCAGCAGAATCTTGTTTGCATGTGATGTCAATGATATTGTTCAATAATTTCCACACTATTGGATCACCTTTCTTTGGAATGGTAACAAATATAGATCTCTTCCAGTCAATTGGCCACGTGGTTGTTCTCCAGATTTCTTGGCACAACTTGGTGAGCACATCCAGGGCAGCATCTATTAGTTGAAATACATCAGTTGGTATACCATCAATTCCAGGGGCCTTATTTTTTGCTGTTTCCTTCAAAGCAGCTTGAACTTCTTCCTTCATCACTGTAGGCTCTTGCTTACATGTTGTTTCATGAAATTCTTCTGTCAGTTCCTTTCAGTACAATGACTCTTTCCATCTTCTTTTAATACTTCCTGGCTCATTTAATATTCTGCTCAAAGCATCCTTAAGTATAGCAACTCGAGGTTTGAATTTGTTCTTCAGTTCCTTAAGCTTAAGAAATGCTGAACATGCACACCTATGTTTATTGCGGCTTTGTTCACAGTAGTAAAGAGTTGGAAACAACCCAAGGGCCCATCAACAAATGAATGGATGGAGAAGCTGTGGTATATTCACACAATGGAATACTAGGCTGCATTGAAAAACAAGGAACTCATGAAATATTACTCAAAATGGGGACCTTGGAGGACATTATGCTTAGTGTATCTCAGTTACAAAAGGACAAATACTGCATAGTGCCACTGTTGTAGAACTGGACTGACATCAGGGTTGGGGTGAGACTGAGAAAAATGGAATAAATGATGTATATTGCATTGAAACAGATGAGGGAGAGAACTGTTTAAAAGCGATATATAATAGAGTATTATAGGTATGACAAGAGTCCAGAATGAAGGTTACATACTGGAGTGTACTCAGGGCTGGGGCAGGGAAAGGGGATTGTATACCAATGAAAGAATTTTACTTTTCAAAGAGAAGAGGCGGGGAGGGGCAGGGAGAAAAATGAAACAATGAATGAATGGCAATCCAAAATCTCTGTAAACATTCATTAAAATGAATTAAAATTTAGAAAAGAGGGGGAAGTGCTCATGACAAAGAACTATAGCCCTACAACACACACACACACACACACACACACACACACACACGCTGAGCGAGTTTGGCCCTTTTAATTTTCTGATTCCAGCTCCTTACACATTTCATTGTAATATTTTACTTTGTCTTCCTGTGCTGCCTTTTGAAATCTTCTCTTCAGCTCTTTAATATCAAATTCTTCCCTCTGCTTTGGCTTCTGAGTGCTCTAGTGCAATATTCAGGGTCTCTTCTGACATCTATCTTGGTCTTTTCTTCTCCCTGTCATTGTAATGACCTTTTGCATTCTTCCTGTATGATATTCTTGATATCCTCCCACAACTCATCTCATTGGTTTTCACGGCCTCAGACCTGTTCCTGAGATGGTTTTGAAGTTCATGTGGGATAGATTCAAGGTCATATTTTGGTTCCTGTGGGTGTGATTCAATTTTCCTTAGCTACAACTTGAACTTGCATGTGAGTAGTTGGTGGTCTGTTCTGCAATCAGCACCTGGCCTAGTTTTCACAGCTGATATTGGGTCTTCTCCAGCAGTTCTTTCCCCAGATGTAATAAATCTGATTCCTGTGCATACTATCAGGTGAAATCCATGTGTGTAACCTGCATTTATAAAACATATTTGCCATGAATAAGTCATTGTGCAAAATTCAGTTATTCTATCTTCAGCTTCATTTCTGTCACTGAGACCATGTTTTCCAACTACTGATCCTTCTTCTCTGTTCCCAGCTTTTGCATTCCAGTCACCCATTATTATTAATGCATCTTGATTGCATGTTTGATTGGTCTCTGGCTGCAAAAGTTGGTAGAAATCTTCTATTTCCTCTTCTTTGGCTCTGGTTGTTGGTGCATATATTTGAATGATAATGGCATTCACTGGACTTCCTTGCATATGTATGGATATTATCCTGTTCCTTACAGTACTGTATTTTAAAACATATCTAGAAATGACTTTTTTAACTATGAAAGCATCCTCATTTTTCTTCACTTTTTCATCTCCAGAGTAATAGATCATATGATCGTCCAACTCAAAATGCCCCATGCCTGTCCATCTCATCTTGCCAATACCTAGTTTGTCAGTATGTATATGTTCCATTTCTTCCTTCACAATTTCTAATTTTCCTACATTCATGGTTCTCACATTCCATGTTCCAGTCACTAGTGTGGGCTTAAAACTGTTCCTCTTCCTTTGTATTTCCATACTTGAAAGCTCCACCTCAGTTGCCCTATCTGTTATCCAATATGTGTTCTGTTATACATAGGGTTTTCAGAGGCCTGCTAATTCGGAAGTGGGTGGTGGGCCAGTTCTTCTTCCTAGTCTGGCTTAATCTGAATGCTCAGTTTTAGAAAAGTATCTGACAGACAAGCATTTTATGGAAAAAGCAGATAAAAGGTATTTCCCCAATTGTGGAATTAACCAGTAGTTTCAGTGTTGTCCCCACCCTTGATACAATCCACCCATTTTCCTTCTCCACCATCCACCAGCATCCCCTCCCATTCCCACCCACTCCCTTCAACACATATCTCCCGTTGTCCAGCCCTTGATCTGATAGCTTATATCTCAAGCTTTATGGGCTTTTGTGATTTCAAATACTCCAGCTGCTGACAATTCTTATGCTGTGGCCAGTGTCTCTTGAGTTTAGGGGTAATGTTTCCCAAGCGAAAGAAATGTGTCCTGTAGATCTGGTATATAGATTATTTTCCTGGCCCAAGTCACCCAACAGGTAAACACAACTCAGAGGCCTGGCAGGTCAAGGCAGAGCCAGAAATCATTGGGGCACACGTGGAAGGCTGAGCTCGGCACAAAATAGAAATTTCAGAAGGGAAGAGAGGGCCAGCAGGCAGGGCCTTCAGCTTCCCCCACCCAACAGGGAAATTTAAATGTTAAGGTTTTCTTTTTAAAAATGTTAAGGTTACTGAAACAATGTCTATAAATTATTGTCTAGAACACAATGGAAGTGGAGGGAAAGTAGGGGAAAAATTTTGAGGTTATTATTTTCTTATAGAAGTATTATTATAATTTGGACTTGGTGGTACCCTTTAAGGTGAAATCTGTTAGTAAGTGTTACCAGAAACCATCAAGTTTGTGTTGGAGGGATGGCCTACCATATGAAAAAGTATTGAAGAGGTGTAAGTAGAAGATGAATGCCTCTATTGAAGATGCAAAGAAATTTGAATTGTTAGTTTTTCATCCATGTAAAGCTTAGGAGCACATAGGATGAAAGGGTCAGGGGTAAGAGGCCCAGGCAGGAGGCAGAAAAGAGTGCAGCAACCTTCTGGTGGTATCATTAACATCATTAAACAGAATGTTTATTACTGGCAAACCAACTTACTCTGTAAGCTTTCACTCAAATCACAACTTTTCACAATAGTTTTTTCTGTAAATGGGAAGAATAGGAGGTGAGAGTTTCAAAAATATACTTGATGTAATGTAGTAATTGAAGACATTAATTTAACATAAACTTTATTATACCTGATGTGTTTTGTGTTTGTGTGTTGTTGATTTTTTAGGGACCAAACTTGCCCAAGCGAAAAAGTTTAATGATCCTGATGATCCCTGTAAAATCCTAGTAGCCACAGATGCAATTGGCATGGGACTTAATTTGTAAGTAATTGTTTTTAATAAGCATGTGTCTTCAGTGAATTAGATAACATTTTTTCTTTCAATTTTCTAATTGGAATGAGAATAAGCCAACCATTTAATTTCAGGAACTGAATTTTATGATATTTTGGGCTGGGTTCTCTAGAGAAATAAAATCGGGAGACATAGAGGCTTATCTCAAGGAAATGACTCACAGGCTTCTAGAGCCTGGCTCGTGCCAGCCCTGTGGGTCAGACCTCAGGAGAGAGGCATCTGTGGAGGCTGACAAGTCGCCAGGTCTGTAGGCATGACAGGCTTCTGGTTCAAGTTCATAGAACTTGAGGTGAGGAGTCAGATATGGGATCCAAATCTAGTAAAAGTTAACTAGCCTTTCCAGATATGTCATTACCTAACTGGCTCTAATCTTCCCTTAGTAACATAGAAGGTGTGGGGTGTTTTTTTGGTTGTTTGGTTTTTTTTTTAGCAAGAGAAAGAAACTGATGTTTATTAGATGTTCAAGAAGGTGTTTTACAACACATAAGATAATCACATTGTACTAAGAATCATAGCCAAGTTGACATACAGTACCCTTAGCTATCATAAGTATATTGTTGTTAGGTGCTGTCATGTCAATTTCAACTGACAATGACAGAGTAGAATTTTGTTTTCTTGCTGTAATCTTTGTGGAAGAAGATTGAGTGTGAACCACCCAGCTTTGATGTTACCTGCAGAATGCCTGTTTGTAACACCTAGCCCACTGCCCTCGAGGCAGTCCTAATGGCAGTCAGGTTACTGAGGCTGTAGAGCTTTGCAGGGAAAGCTGCCTCCTCCTCCTCCCACTGATAGCTGGTAGACTTATTAGCAGTCCAGCAGGTCACACACTCTGCCAGCAGGACTTGGTAGTACGGATCTCAGATTGAGCTTGTTGAGGAAATGAAAGGCAAGTAAGTGCTAGAAGGCTCTAGGCCTTTTGAACTCCCACCACTGCTAAGCAGTTCACTGTATATTAAGTTCAATGTCTCATACAACAGTTGTCAGGAATGTAGGGCTAGCCATTGTTGTTAGGGACAACAAACTTAGCCCTAATTATTCCTCCCAAGGTAATCAAGGCAACAGGTAGCTGTATTTTAATAATTCTATGTAAATACCCTGGTGACATTGACTGCACTCTTCATATTTTACTTATAGGTGGTGGGCAGGATTACAAACGGACCTGTATTAGAAGTAGAGTGGGGATTTATGTGGTGATGCAGGAGATTTAAGCTGTTGTCATACACAGGCTATGAGACTGCTTTTCTATTTCAGGAGCATAAGAAGAATTATTTTTTACTCCCTTATAAAGCCCAGTGTCAATGAAAAAGGAGAGAAAGAAATGGAACCAATCACCACCTCGCAGGCCCTGCAGATTGCCGGCAGAGCTGGTAGATTCAGCTCAAAATTTAAAGGAGGAGAGGTTACAACAATGCATCGTGAAGACCTTAATTTATTAAAGGACATTTTGAATAGGCCTGTGGAACCTATCAGGGTAAGGTGTTGTGTAACAACTTCTCTGTGGAGTGCAATTAGCCCTTCTTTCATTCACTAGTCAGACTCTTAGATAGAAATTCTTTTCTTTTTTGTGCTGTGGAGGTAATATTAAGAAAATCCTACTTTATTGCTTTGTAGAGGCATAGATTCCTGGGCCAGAAAAGGTTGTGCAAGTAAAAGATCTTAAAGAAGTTTAGTGAGTCTACTTTTAGTTCTTTCTCACATCAGGCAGCAAGTGTCTAGACACAGTTATTTCAGGTGGACACACAGAGCTGTGTCACCAGATTTAACAAATTCTTGGAACCTGAATGTAGATAAAATTCTTGAGTGTGGAAGAAGAATAACACCAAGCAGTACAACTTCAAGCCAGTAAGGATGAAGTTAAATTTTAATTGGTGTACTTAATGAATCATAGGTATACCTATGTTAACAAAAGAACTATTTTTATTGTAAAAATAGCTAAGACATTTACCAGGTCTCTTTCACCTTTATAAATGAGTGATAACAGTTAAAGAAATCTTATGCCATTATCACCAATATCCATTACCATAAAGAGAAAATAACTTTTAAAAATAGTTTATATTTAAACTTAAATTTTTAATTCCCTTAAATTGTTTATCTCAGTTTTCAGTGACACTGAATAAAGGAAAATAACACAAGAAGAAAGCTGTGATTGAAGTAATTCTTGTAGCTTTTGTTAAAAGCGTGGTTCAGTTGATGGGTGGCTTCTCAGACATTCCCCACCTTGTCCTGGGCACATTATCACTTGCTCGTGCTCTTTCTTCCTCTCTCTGCCTCATTACCTCGATCTCCTTCCTCCCACCCCCTCATTTCTGTCTGCTTTCTTCTTAACAGTGCGGTTATACAGCTGAAGAAATAACTCTTCTTCAGTGTAAACATTTTCTCATATTTAAGAATGGGAGGTCCTTCATTCCTTTTGGTTTAGGGAGCTGAATTAAGATATGCAAAGTTGTTTCCACTGGAAAGCAGTTTTCAGTTAGTATACCAGTCATCGCTGGTGTTAGGTATATAACTGAGATGTAAGTGAAAGTCTATTCCATGTGCATAATTTTTTTTTCCATGTGCATAATTTTAAGTTTTATTAAACGATACCATCAGTTTTCCTAAATGGTAATAAAAGAAGAATTGATGATGGTTTTCTTGTTTGCCCTCTAATTCTTGCTATTTAATGAGAGCTTAACCTGAATTAGAACTTTATCTTGAGATAAGAAAATTTATCCCTTTTTCCTGTTAACTAATGGTGGTTCTTCCCTTTTCCTTTTACTAAAGGCAGCTGGTCTTCATCCAACTGCTGAACAGATTGAAATGTTTGCCTACCATCTACCTGATACAACACTGTCTAATCTCATTGTAAGTAGATCCTTATTTTTTAATAATTTTAAAATTTCATTGTTGAAAATATACATAGCAGAACTGACACGTAGTATCAGCCATTTCTGCATGTACAGCCCTGTGACATTGCTTCCCTTCCTTGAGTCATGTGACCATTTTCACCCGCCTTTTCTGAGTTGATCTTCTTCCACTAAGTTAAACTTACTACTTACTGTCCCTTAAGCATCCTATGTACTCTTTTAAGTTGTCACTGCTAATTTGATTTCATACAGATAGAATCTAAAAGAGCATAATGTGAAAGACAGACATTCTTTATTAGTTAAGCTAAACTATTGTTATTTTAGAAGATTTCAGGGGATTTTTGGTTTCTAGATTTATTATTGTTGTTGTTGCTATGTGCCGTCGAGTCCCTTGTGACTCATGGCGACCCTATGTATAACAGCCCTAAACTCTGTCTTGTGCCAGTCGCACTGTCTCTGACACTCCCATCCCAATTACCCCAGTCACTGAATCAATCCACCTCATAGAGGGCCTTTCCCTCCTGCATTGTCCCTCCACCCTCCCAAGCATGATGTCCTTCTCCAAGGACCGGTCTCTCCTCACAACATGTCCAACGTATGTTAGACGGAGCCTCAGAATCCTTGCCTCCAAGGAGCCACCCGGTTTAACCCTTTCCAGGACAAATCTGTTTGTTTTCCTAGCAGTCCATGGTATTCTCAATACTCTTCTCCAGCACCACAGCTCAAAGGCATCAATTCTCCTTCTATCCTCCTTGGTCATTGTCCAACTCTCTGATGCATAACAAGTGATGGCAAAGACCATGACCTCTATCTGATGCACCTTAGTCTCCAGAGAGACACCATTGCTCTTCAGTACTTTGGAGAGGTCCCTAACAGCAGACTTTCCCATGACAATACACCTTTTCATTTCCTGGCTACTGGTGCCAAGAGTGTTGACTGTGGAGCCACGCAAACTAAAGCTGTGAACAATCTCAATCTCTCCACCATCCATCCTGATGCTGCCAGTTGGTCCAATGGGGAGAGTCTTTGTCTTCTTGACATTGAGCCTCAATCCATATTTGGCTGCAGTCCTTGACCCTCTGCAGCAGGCCCTTCAGGTCCTCCTCAGTTTCAGCAAGCAGATTTATAGTTTAGAGAAATAATTTCAGTAGTTCATCCAGCACCCATGGTTCCGAAAATCTGAATTCCAGGAAAATTTGAAATTCAGTTTTGTGTTTTTCCCATTTAGATTAGATATTTGTATAGAATCCTTGATTCAAATGGTGGTGGTGATAGACAGTCACCATCCAGGTCTTCTCATCTCATGGCAGAGGAGGCAGTTGTTCATGGAGGCAGTTAGCCACACGGTCCATTTTTACCTCCTTTGCTGAGTGTCCTCTTTTTCTGTTGCTCCCAGAGGAGCAACTGGTCTCTACCAGTTGTGCCTTGGGTGAATGCTTGCAAGCTTTGCAGACCCAAGGCACTAGGTAGATAACTAAGAGGTAGAAGAGAGGCATTAACCATGTTATTAGATGAGTTACCTTGATTATCCCAAGAAAATGTGACCCTAAGTCCCCAAGCAATGGAACTGAAAGAAATTCACTTTTAAATTTCCTTTATTTTATACCTCTTTAAAAATGCTGGTGATGTGCCACATGACTACTTGTTCATCTCATGAGCATTTTGTTTTGTTTTGGGATGTTTGTAAAATTACTATTTGTACAATTTATCTTAAAGTAAAAACTTTCCAACTTTTCTGGGACTTATGTCCCAGGAATTCATCTCAGTTGGGAAAGCTGTGGGAAGTCTATTACCTTGAAGTAACAGTGAATATTAAAGCGAGACTTTCTGGAAGTCTGATAAAGAGATTGACTTTTGTAGAATTCCATATTATGTTCGTGCCCTTTTGGCAGTCCATAATGTCATGTGTCTTTTCTCCTAGGATATTTTTGTTGACTTTTCACAAGTTGATGGGCAGTATTTTGTCTGCAATATGGATGATTTTAAATTTTCAGCAGAATTGATCCAGCATATCCCGTTAAGTCTCCGGGTGAGATATGTGTTCTGCACAGCGCCTATTAATAAGAAGCAGCCTTTTGTTTGCTCTTCATTGTTACAGGTAAGCCTTTACCTTTTTGATATTTGGAGTTGTTTTAGGCTGATGGATTTTTCTCCAAATAGTACTTTTTAAATGAAAAATAAAACAGTTGAGAGAGTGCTTTGTAATAGGAGGGACTTTCTAAGAATGTAAATGGCACGTGACTGCTTCCTCACAGATGTGTTGTTTTTTGGGGAGTGGGAAAAGCCGTGACTTGTGTCTGGGATGGTATGGTAGTCTTTGTGAAGAAACACAGACTGCCACGTTTTTTCGCTCCATGGGAGAGAGCTTTGCCTAATGACACTTTTTGGCTTCTCAGTCTTAGGTAAATACTTTGGAGGAAGGTCAGCAGATTGGTTGAGGGTCCTTAGTGGCAGTGGCATTTCATTTTCAGAAATGGAAGGCAACAAACCCGAGGTTGCTAATGTGTGTGCCTCTCGTAACCATTTGAGTGAAGAAGACAGAATCTACCCAAACAAAGGGGGCTAGAAGGGCACTAGCACCTGAACGTCCAGCCCCTGCTCCAACCCTTCCCGCCTCCCTGGGCCCTTGCACAGATTTTGGTGTTCGGAATGCCCTTGCCACCCCACTACATCCAAAAGTCTCTTTTTAAAAAAAAAAAATTTGAGAAAGTTTACAAATGGTATTGGTTTTTCATTTATTCATTCATAGACATTTTATTTATAACTAATTATCATTGATTAATGTAGTGAGTTAATTACAATGTCTAATCTACTCCTTATTTTCTTACCTTTCCTTTCACCACCTTATCTATTTATTAGTTTTACTCTCCTCTCCCTCTCAACCATCCAATGATGATTCTGTGTATAAGCCTTACCCCACTCAACATAATTTGTTCTAGACACTACAGTATTTTGTGAATTTTTTATCATTTTTTTAGTAATGGATAATCTTCCACTGTGTGAGTGCACTGTAGCTTCTTTGGCCTTTTGTCAGTTGATGGATGTTTAGATGGTTTCCAGCACGTTGCTATTAAAAATGATATGCAGTGAACAACGGCTGCGTCTGTCTGTGTTCCTCTTTCTTTAGTTTTTACCTTTTTTTTTTTTTTAGTATCTATTATTACTGAGCTATAATGATGGCCTCTGCTATCTCTTTAGAACATTACTTGTGGATTTGTGCTCCCTGGAGCTCCTTCAGGGCACTTCCAGGTGGTGTCAAATGCTTGAGCATCTTGCCCTTTCTCTTGGCAGTTTCAAGGAGCTCCTTCAGGGCACTTCCAGGTGGTGTCAAATGCTTGAGCATCTTGCCCTTTCTCTTGGCAGTTTCAAATTTAACTCTTTCACATACTGAGTTTCCAGTAGTTGTTTATGACCAGAAATACTAAAGCTGCTGTCTTTCTCAAAGAACTTGACAATTGTAGACTCAGCATTATTCCATATAGTCGATACAGTCAAATACACCAGGCAGAATTTAATAAAATCAGCATCATATGATTCCAGTTAGTCTAAAAATGGCCTGCCTCTGTCCATAGTATTTCACTTGTTTAGGTTAAAGATTTAGAAATACTTTTCTCTAATTAGGAATGTTCCGTTTGAAAGCATTTAATTTTTGAAGCTATAGATTAAAATTCCTTTTTCTTTTCTAATTTTGTGTATGTGTACCATCAAATTGGATCTGACTGGTACAGGAGGAGATTGTTCCTCCTTCCCCAGCAGAGCATCTGGTGGATTTGAACTGCGTACCTCTGGGATTGCAGTGCAGCTTTTTGCCACTAGGCCACCAGAGCTCCCTTAAAATTCCTTCTTGAGAAGTCTCACTATATACAGTTTGTTGTATTCCTGTCACCTGCAGTGTAGGCTGTGTGTGATAATGTCTCATGTTGGGATGCCCTTCTCATCCTACTAAAGCACATTTCTCACCCATGTCTCATAGTTCAAGAAGGACGTTTGTCGTCTCAAGTTACTGAAGAGGTTGAGGCTCAGAGCCATAGCTAATGGAAGGCAGTCAAGATTGGCTTATGGCCAGCCACCAGGCACCTCAAGCAGTTTCTAAGAAGAAAAGACATTATTATTAAAGAACAAAATACAGAAAATTGAATAATTTGGGACTATGACTATGAGACTACGAGAAGGGACAGAAATCGTCATCTGCAGATACTGTCCACCAATGAATATTTTTATAAAGGAGGATTAATAGCCCTAAGCCCTGGAAAGTTACTCCTTGTGAAACCATTGACTCATGTATTATTGCCCTGATTTTGAAAAAAAGAAGAAAATGATTTTTAGTTTTTCCTAAACACTTTTACCGAATAATAAATGTTCTCGGAAATCCAGCCTGTTGCATTCAAATTGCTTCTGACTCAGTGACCCAGTAGGACAGAGTGGACTGCCCCAGAGCTTCCAAGGCTGCCTGAGTGACACACAGCAGTGGTCTCTGCAGAAGCCGACCACCAAGGCTTTTCTGTGGAACAGCTGGTGGGTTCCAGCTGCCAACCTTTCCATTAACGACCAGGTGCTTAATCGCTGTACTACCAGGGCGGCTCCTTAAACATTTAGGGGGAAAATGTAAAGACATCAGCTTGCCTATTGAAACACAGCCACAGCATTTCTTTGTATTTTCTTCCTTTTTCTTTCTAATTATAGACATAAGTGAATTCTAATTCCTTACCAAACCTTTCCCCCCCCTTTCTCAGTTTGCCAGACAGTATAGCAGGAATGAACCCCTGACCTTTGGATGGCTGCGTCGGTACATTAAATGGCCTTTACTGCCACCTAAAAACATTAAAGATCTGATGGATCTTGAGGCTGTCCATGACGTCTTGGATCTCTACCTCTGGCTAAGGTACCATATTTTCTCCTTTCTGTGGTCACAATTTTCTAAGCAATACAGTGAGTCATGGGTTTTATGAGTGACCTCTTGCTCTCTCAAATTCACACTTTTGCAGGTTACTCTGTATTATATTTATTGTCTATAAGGGCAATGGAACTTGCTTTATTCCCATTCCAAAAATAACATAAAGAACTGTTGTTATTTTAGTAGAGATGTTAAAAATCTACTAGACTCTTTGTACCCAATGGGTGGTCTCTGGACAAAAACATCGAGGGTACTTGGGAACCTGTTAGACATCCAGAGATTATCAGGCCTACTCCTGATTTGTTGACTAAAATCTTATCAAGCTTCCCAGGTAGTTCCTTTTGAAAAGATTTGTAAAGCACTGGCCTTAATCAGTGATTCTCAGAGGCAGGGCTTGCACTCCTAGGAGAGCAAATCACAATCTCGTGAGAGGAGTTAATGGGATGAAGTGGAGGCCAAGTAGAGACACTGGACAGAGTTTACAGAAAGAACGTTTGGCATTGATCCATGCCTAGACATAGGCCTTTGAAAATAATCCAGCAAATGTGACAAAAGCTATTGCACTGATATAATGTGTCTTCTTTCCCAGCTATCGGTTTATGGATATGTTTCCGGATGCCAGCTTTATTAGAAACCTCCAGAAAGAGCTCGATGGCATTATCCAAGATGGCGTACACAACATCACCAAACTCATCAAAATTTCCGAAACACATAAGCTGCTGCAGTTGGAGAGTTTGTCAGCAGGGAGCCAGTCCCGTTTGTCAGGAAACTTAAAAGGCCAAATTAGAAGGACTCACGGCACCAGAACTCAAGGGAGTAAAGCTGCTGAGCTTAAAGACCCAGCGGCAGGAGGGAGCTCGCTGGCTTCCAGGTTGGTGCAGCAGGGACTCCTCACTCCGGACATGCTGAAGCAGCTGGAGAAAGAGTGGCTGACGCAGCAGACAGAGCATGGCAAGGACAGGACAGAGTCCTGGAGTAATGCAAAAGGGACAAGGCGAAAGAAGAAGGAGCCTGACTCGGACTAGTTTTTCTGATTTTATTGATTTTTTTTTTTTTTTTGCAAATAAAAACCTGCTTAGAAATCTTTTGTCCTCATACACTTTTACTTCCTGCCATGATAGTGCACCCATTGCTTGATGTATTTTTGGGGAGTTTTTGGTACCGAAAAATTAACTCTCAGAGATGACCAAGCTGCTGTCTGATCAGTACTTTTAAAAAATCTTAGACTGTCTTAGGGATTATATTTAAATTATTATTTTTTTTAATATAGCACCAGGATGATGCATTTTAAGGAACTCTGCACAGAAATAAAGTTAGTTTGGTGAATTGTTGGGTCAGTCTTCTGTGTCTTAGAAATTGGTAGAAACCCACACCCATGTTTATAACAGCTTTGTTCACAATAGCAAGGAGCTGGAAACAACCTAAGTGCCCATCAACAAATGAATGGATAGGGAAGCTGTGGTATATTCACACAATGGAATACTACCCTGCATTGAAAAACAAGGAACTCATGAAATATTATACAAAATGTGTGACTCTGGAGGACATTATGCTGAGTGAAATATCTTGGTCACAGAAGGACAAATACTGCATTGTGCCACTGTTGTAAAATGAGACTGACATTGGGGTTGTGGGGAAATTGAGAAAGTTGGGATACATTATGTATACTACATTGAAACAGATGAGAGAGAGAACTGTTTAAAAGGGATATGTGATTAGGTAGTATTGTCGTGACAGCAGTCCAGAACGAAGGCTGCATAGTGGAGTGGACTTTGGGGCAGGGATTGTATAACAATGAAAGAATTTTATTTTTCAAAGAGAAGAGCAAACTGGGGGAGGTTGGGAGGGGAGAAAAGTGCAACAATGAATGAAAATCCAAAGTCTCTGTAAACTTTGATTAAAATGAGTAAGAAATAGATATACATTTAAAAAAAGCAATTGGTAGAAATCTTTGACCAACAATTATGTGTTTTTCATTCAGCAAGTACTTCTTATATAGCTGCTGTGTGCAAGTATTTAGCTTGGTGCTAAATATATGCATTAAGCATAACAGATAATGTTCCTTCGCTCATATTCTTGTTATGTGCCATCAAGTTGCCTGCGACTCATACTGACCTTAAGTACATTAGCTCTGAAGCCTGCCCTGTACTGAGCCAATTTCATCGTCTCAGACAGACCTAATCCAGTCACTGAGTCAATCCATCTCATCCTGGGTCTTACTCTTATGCACTATCCCTCCACCCTTACAAGCTTGATGTCCTCTCCTAGGACTGGGCCTTCCTGCCCACATGCCCAAAGTATGTGAGATGGAGCCTCAAAATCCTTGACTCTAGGGAGCAGCCGCGTTTCACCCTCTCCAGGACAGACTTGTTTGTTCCCCTAGCAGTTCATGGTATGTTCAACACTGTTCTCCAGCACCACAGCTCAAAGGCATCAATCCTTCTTCTATCATCCTTAGTTATTGTCCAGCTCTCAGATGTATAGCAAGTAATTGTGAAGACCATGCCTGGATCAGGCGCACCTTTGTCTCCAAACTGACATAATTGCTCTTCAGTACTCTAGAGAGGTCCGTGATGACAGACTTTGCTAGTGCAATTCATCTTTTGATGTCCTGACTGCTGGTACCAAGAGTTTTTATTGTGGAACCAAGCAAGCTGACTTTATCAATCAGTCTCAATCTCTTCTCTCCATCATGAAGCTGTCATTTGGCCCAGTAGTGCGAATCTTTGTTTTCTTGGTGTTAAGCTTCAATCCATATTGAAGACTACAGTCCTTGACCTTCTGCAGCAAACGCCTCATGTCCTGTTCAGTTTCATCAAACAAGGTTGTGACATCTGCATAACTCAGGTTGTTAATGAGTCTTCCTCCACTCCTGATGCCACATTTCCACTTAATAAAGCCCAGCCTCCTAAATGATCTATTCTGCATATAAATTCAAAAGGTATGAAGACAAGATGCATCCCTGATGCACTCCTTTTCTGGTTCTGAATCATGCAGTGTTTCTCTACTCTTTTGACTACTGCTTCCTGGTTCAAGAATAGGTTTCACATGAGCACAATTAAGTGTTTTGGGATCCCCATTTTTCTCAATCTTAGCCACAATCTGTTGTGGTCTACAGAGTCAAATGCCTTCCTTCACGGAGCTTACATTTGGTTTAAGGAGACAGGAAACGGAACCAACCTGTAGCGGACCCTCTGGCAGGTTTCAGAGGCAGTTAGTCACATGTGAGATTGCCCAACCTTCTCCTGAAAAGCAGCTAGTGGCCTTGAAACCCGTGCCTTCAGGATTTTATTGCAATACATCGAGGGGAAAAAATGAGATTGTCAATTATTTTAATTACTTGGATCCAATCAACACTCAAAGTGCAGTCAAGAAATGAAGAGACATGTTACATTGGGAAATTCTTGACAGTACAATTTCCTAATGTAATGGCTCCAACTCTGATACACAACAACCACCTCATGATACAGCCTGCTAGCCCAGTGGTGAGGACTTTTGTTTTCTTGATGTTGATATGTAATGCATATTGAAGGCCGTACGTAGTCTTTGATCTTCTGGAGCAAGTATTTCAAGTCCTTTTCACTTTCAGAAAACATTGCATTATCTACATGAGACAGGTTGTTGAAAAGCTGTCTTCTAAACTTAATGCCACATTCTTCTTAATATAGTCCAGTGTCTTGAACAATTTGCTCATTATACAGTTATGTATGGGTAGATTTAGAGAAAAGACAGAACCCTGATGCATCCCTTATTTAAAACCATACAGTGTTCCCTTGTTCTGTTTGGACAACAGCTTCTCAGTTTATTTGTCTCTTTGCATGAGTAAGTTATGTATTCTGGGATTCATATTCTCAATATTAGCCATAATTTGTTATGATTCACAGTCAAATGCCTCGGTATATCCAATAAAACAAACATCTTTCTGGTATGCTCTGCTTTCAGCCAAGATCTAACATCAGCAGTGATATCCTTTGTCATATACCTCTTCTAAATCCAGCTTGAGTTTGGCAATTCCATGTTTCAGCTTTTAAAAATAATCTTCAGAGAGTCAGCACCCAGAGCCATCAGGGGCTTTAAGCTCGTTGCCCACTGCTGTGGTGTGGACAGCTGAAACCCAGGCCCCGACAGGCACC